AATAGAAACTGTTTGTTTATCTATATAAATTTATTTGTGTCCGGTTCAATTTTTCGAACCAAAAAATGCGACCCGAAATTCAAACCGAAATAAAAATACCCGGAAATCCGACCTGTAATCCGACCCGAATTATTGTTAAAAACGAATATTCTTAAATATTGTTAGTGAGTAAAATTAATTATATTTACGATTTTAAATAAATAGCAAATCTTTGTAACAATAAATACCAGATCTTATTAAATATTGATATCTATGTTTCCAAACTTACTTATTTTAAATACTGCTATCCATGTTTCCAAACAAAAGGTTAAAGTACTTCTACTTTAATAAGATAGATAGTCTCAATTATTTATTAGGCCATGCTTATACCTTCAGCGACTAGTATGATATAAGTTTACTTTATAATATCTGGTTCAAGTATAGTAGATATAAATGAAAAAAAAAAAATTTGGGAGATTTGCTAAAGTGAACACCATAAGGGAAAGTTAACTTAAGTCAAATACTCACTTCAATGTTTAAGTAGAGCTAGCAACATTATTCCTATCTCAACTTATTTTAAAATTTCAAAATCATAAAAAAGTTTAAATAGAGTTTTTAAATAGTAGAATTACATAATATAATCATATGTATAAAGTATTTTTTTGAAAAAAATTAGATTTAATGACCCAAATCGATGTTTTAATGTTCCATACTCTCAGAAGAGCGCGTGAACCCCCAACATCAGCAATTTCGTAGTATCCTATCCATCCAAATTACACGATTTGAGATTTCTCGTTTTTCTCTTAAAAAAATGCGACGCGTCCCTTCGGCTTTTCTCATTCATTAATTTATATATAACGTCTGCTCCGTACCGAAATCAATTTCCTGGCAATCTAAACCGGTCTATTAACGTACCGACTCCAACCCGGTTCAACCTCTTTTGTACAAGAATCGTAAAAACCGGCGAAGAAGAACGAAGCATCCATGGAGATCGGGGAGGAGATAGAAACACATTGCAGATCTCTCATCACCTGAAACTTTAAGACTGAATAAGTGCCAAGAGTGTTACTGGTTATCAAGATTGAGCATTTGTCAATACACATATGCTCTCAACTGAAAGATGACAAACATTTTAAACTGAAAATGAGCCAATCACAAATCAGAACGAAAGCGATATAAAAAAGGAGAAGACATCAAGATCTGTTTAAACAAACTTATTTATACTATTAAACCCAAATACCTCATAAATTATTAATCTGAACTTTGTCTCTAGCAGATAAGATCCAACCATTCTAAGAAAACATATCCAAAAAACTTTTATCTAATTCACCGCTCGATAACATATTCATCACCATCTTAACACTAGAAGCATTTGCTGCGAGCCCATAACTCTTCATTTCTTCAATAAGTCTAGCTGCTGCGGCTGAGTCACCATCTCGGAGATATGCTTGGATTAGTGTATTGTAAGTACAATCATTTGGCGCAATCCCATCCTCTTTCATCTTTCTAAACAACCTATCCGCTTCAGACAGAGTGCCTTTCTTACATAATCCCGAGATCATTATATTGTATGTTTTAACATCAGCCTTCGCTCCTTTGAGAGGGAGGCTACAGAATAGATCCCAAGCATCATCGATCTTACTAGCATTGCACATCCCGTGAGTGATGATATTATAGATACCAATATCAAGATCAATCTTACAATTGTGCATCTGATCAAGTATTTCCAAAGCCCTTTCTACTTCTCCATTGTCACACAACCCATCCAACAAAATTTTGTAGGTCACAATATCAGGATGAACACCTTGAGAGACCATCTCTTGGAAGAGTTCCTTGGCGACGGTAAGGTTTCCTGACTGACAAAATCCTTGGATGAGAGTGCTATAAGTGACTGTATCAGCAACCACTCCACTCATTGACATTTTGCGGAAAAGTCTCAGACCATCATCAGCCTGTTTAGCCTTGCAATATCCATTTATAAGGATATTAAACGTCACAATATTAGGATCGCATCCCTTGCTAACCATCAGATCCAGCATCTGGTTGGCTTCATCTAAGCGATTCTTCATGCACAACCCATGTATCAAAGAACTATATGTAATGGTATTAGGATCTATGCCTCTTTTGATCATCTCATCGAACCATTCTTTAGCCTCAGTAAGCTTTCCCTCTTTCACAAAACAATCAATCAAAGTACTGAAAGTGACGACGTTCGGGGTGATTTCCCTTGTAATCATATCCCTCAGAATCTGTGCACCATCATCCCATCTACCAGCGTTAGAGAAGCCTCCTATGAGCGAAGTGTAGGTAAAGACATTTGCTTTGATCCCTTTGGTTTCCATTACATTGAAAAGGCTGAGTGCATCTTCGAGGCTTCCATCTTTGCAAAGACTGTCGATAATTATACTGTATGTGACTACGTCAGGCTTGACCTTTCTACATTCCATCTTTCTGAGCAGATCCAAGGCCGAGGCAGTGTTACCTGACTTACACATTCTGTTCAAAATAGGACCATAAGTAACTTCGCTGGGTTGACATCCATTAGCCATCATTCGATCAATCAAAGCCATTGCTTCCGATAGTCTATCTTGAAGACAAAGGCCATTGACAATAGTGCTTAGTATGATGAGATCTGGAATAACCTTCATTTCCACCATACGATCAACTAATTCCACAGCTTGGGAAACTAGACCCTTGAGACATAGACCGTTAATCAAAGTAGAGAATGTGACAGTGTTAGGCTCATACCCAAGTTTCAACATCTTTCCCATCACAGAAAAGGCAAAACCGAGTTTCCTGAGCCGGCAGAAGCAGTTGATGACAATACTCAGCGTGTAGATGTTATGCGCAATCCCATTCGACTCCATTTGCTTGCAGAGATCCAAAACGAGATCATAATGTCTCGTTTTAGCAATACCACTAAACAATCTACTGAAATCAACGACGGTAGGACGAGGACGAGACTCAATCATTGTCTGAAACAAAGCAACAGCATCTTCTCTCTTGATACCAACAATCCCACTTCTCAGTCTCTCTTCGTAAGAAGAAGAGATCTTTCTATCGCTGCTGACACCACCAGAAAAGCCTCGTTCGCCGAATAAACACAAGAACTCTTCGTATGGTCTGTAAAGTATAGAAGTTCTCAGGGTACCTGTCTCCATGAATCGAAGCCGAACAGATCTCAAAGCTTTGCCACTTCGTATCATCAACAACATCGTGTCTCTCTTAATACTGGATTGTTCCTCTTCCCCGAGCTCAAAGCTCACACTGTTTGTATGTCTCTTCCCAAAGAGCCAAGTCACGAGTTTTCAGTGACAAGGACAAAAAGCGAGTGCAACTTTATTGACCAAACCGATTCAATTTCATTTAACCGGTCTGAATCAAACCGAGATATACGAGATTTAAACCGAGACTAATTGTGTTTAGATTTTTTTTGGTTACGTTGGTTTGTATTGGTCGGTTTTATGCCGTCTACATTATCATTACCAATTAAATCTAATTCAACTTGGTTTAGTAAAAATCTCACGTTTAAAATTTGGCTCTTTTTTTTGTTAGATCAATTTCAATTCAAATAGAACCATTTCATCCAAAATTCAAGTTGAGCTACCTAGATGATTGAATGATTGTAATATCAGACATTAATCATTCAAGATAATGAAAGTCTCTAACAATTCGAGGTCGACACAAAGTGAGGTAAATACAAAGGTGTGGCTGCAAGTGAATCATGATGGATATAGAACATGTACAGACTTTATTCCTTTCCAAACCGAAATATTAAAAAAAAAAAAAAAGGTATTCGTTAAAAAAAAGGTATAATAATGTGTGTATATATATATATATATGAATGATCCTGATTCAATAATCATATATCTAAACCCAAGTTTGAGATGTTTTTGTTAAAGAAATACAACCAGTCAAAGTTTTGGTTCAGTTTATATCATCAAGCAAACATTCGGAGTTTTGGTTCAGTTTATATCGTTTAAAAACCGGTTTAACTTACAATTATACCGTTAGAAATGTAGTAAACATGAACACAACAAAATTTGGTAAACATGAAGACAATCTAAGCTTATGTTCAAGAGACTAAATAACTGTTTCAGTGCACTACAAACTTTAGCATCTCATTAAACAGCCGTAGCTTTAGCTTTTACACAATCGTTCTGGAACTGCTGGGAATCAACGTCAAGCCATCATTATGATTTGCTGGAGATATCAAATATTTCGTAACACACAAAATAAAGGTCACATGAGATATACTTAGTACGTACCTTATTTTTGATTACAATCCCTGCAATAATGCCATATCGAAGCATCTTACTATACAAGTTTCTCGGCTAGTTCTTCGTGACCAATTACTTTTGCGCATTAAAATATTTCTTCGCTGATGAGAAACATCTGCAAAATAAGATTAGTGGAGACCGATACTCATTACTTGAATGAACGAGAGAATTTGGAGTTCATGAAGCATTCTCTCTACAGGTTCATATTCTGAGAAAGTGACAGAACAACAAATGTGCTGTGTATATCATCATCCTTTCCTTTTGTTATGTTTCATGTCCACCCAAGGGAAGGACATTCAGAACAGATCATGTACGGTTCGTTCCAGTGCAGAGACATGTACTGAAAAAAAAACAATTTCAAAAACACAAACTAGAGAGATAACAGATTTGTTCATAACCTAAATAAGCAAAAGTATACAGATGAACACAGGAGAAGAGAAAAGATGCAGTTTCAATAAAGAAGAGTTTGTTTAAAGAAGATTCTCAAACTTCTAGAAATTCTTCCAAGGAGTGTCATTAATCTTTGCAAGTTTGGCTCAGTTGTGGTTAATATCTTGACCATTTTCCCTAAGCCAAAAAACCTTTTGTCAACTATAAACAGAGCAAACCAATGCCAATGTTGCAGTTTAATTAGATCACTGACAAAACCAGAGAACACACATTTTGACCCTTGACATACTCCAGTTGTAGTTTCACACAACAAAAAACTGGTTTCCACTAATAAACCCAATTAACTCGTAAACACTAATGGGGACTGTTTCATAGTTAAATGAGGCTTCCAAGAAAGCATATCTAGAAAGCTTTTGTCCAATCTACCACTGGATAACATATCAATAACCATCTTCATGGTGGAAGCATCAGCGGAGAAGCCACACCTCTTCATTTCTTCGATGAGTTCAACTGATTTGCTTATGTCACTACCTCTGAGATGAGCTCGAATTAGTGTGTTGTAGGTACATTCATTTGGCGCAATCCCATCTTCCTTCATTTTTCTTAGCAAAGTATTTGCTTCAGGCAATGACCCTTTTTTACACAATCCCGAGATCATTACAGTGAATGTCTTAACATTGGGCTTCACTCCTTTCGAAGGTAGGCTGCAGAATAGATCCCAAGCATCGTCGACCTTACAAGCATTGCACATCCCGTGAATGATTATAGAATATATACCAATACCAGGATCAATCTTACAACTGTGCATCTGATCAAGTATTTCCAAAGCCTTTTCTACTTCTCCATTGTCACACAACCCATCCAGCAAAATACCATAAGTAACAACAGTGGGTGGCACACCAATAGAGACCATCTCTTGGAAGAGTTCTTTGGCGTCATTAAGTTTTCCAGATTGACAAAATCCTTGGATGAGAGTGCTATAAGTGACTGTATTGGCAACCAATCCTCTCAGAGACATTTTGCGGAAAAGTCTCATACCTTCATCAACCATTTTAGCCTTACAATATCCATTTATAAGGATACTATAAGTCACAATATCAACATCGCATCCTTTGCTAACCATTATATCCAGCACCTGATTGGCCTCATCTAAGCGGTTTCCGTTGCACAACCCATATACCAAAGTATTATATGTAATGGTATCAGGATCTATCCCTCTTTTGATCATCTCATAGTACAAGTCTTTAGCCTCAGTAAGCTTTCCCTCTTTCACAAAACAATCAATCAAAGTATTGAAAGTGACGATGTCTGGGGTGATTTTCCTTGTAATCATATCCCTCAGAAATTGTGCACCATCATCCCATCTACCAACATTACAAAATCCTCCAATGAGAGAGTTGTAGGTAAAGACATTTGCTTTGATCCCTTTGGTTTCCATTTCATTGAAAAGGCTGAGTGCATCTTCTAGGCTCCCATCTTTGCAAAGACTGTCAATGATGATACTGTATGTGACTACGTCAGGCTTGATCTTTCTATATTCCATCTTTCTGAGCAGATCCAAGGCCAAGGCAGTGTTCCCTGTCTCACACATTCTGTTCAAAATAGGACCATATGTAAACTGATCAGGTCGACATCCCTTTTCCATCATTCGATCAATCAAAGCCATTGCTTCAGAGAGTCTATGTTGGAGACAAAGCCCATTGACAATAGTGTTGAGTATGATGAGATTTGGTAGAACCTTCATTTCCACCATACGATCAACTAATTCCACAGCTTGTGAAACTTTACCCTGGAGACATAGACCGTTAATCAAAGTAGAGAATGTGACTGTGTCAGGCTCATACCCAAGTTTCAATAATCTTCCCATAGCAGAAAAAGCGAACCCGAGTTTACGACGCCTGCAGAAGCAATTGATGACAATATTCAGCGTGTAGAGATCATACGCAATCCCTTGCAATTCCATCTGCTTGCAGAGATCCAACACGAGATCATATTGTTTTGTTTTAGCAACTAAACCAAACAGTCTATTGAAATCTATAACCGTAGGAAGAGGACGAGACCTAATCATGGAGTGAAAGAGAGCAACAGCATCATCCTTCTTAATACCAATAATCCCAATTCTCAATCTCTCTTTGTAAGAAGTGCGATTTCTGCCGCTATCACCAGAAAAGCCTCGTTCGCAGACGAAACACAAGAACTCTTCGTATGGTCTGTGGAATAAAGAAGTTGTCAGGATACCTGTCTCCATGAATCGATACCGAACAGATCTCAAAGCTTTGCCACTACGTATCATCTCTCAACCTGAATCGTCTCTTTCCCCAGCTCACACTGTCTTTATGTTTGTACACAGGACAAAAGCGCAATTTATCGACCAAACCAGTTTAATTTCAGTCGGTTTAGAGAATATACCGAAATTGGTTTAGTCGAGTGTCACGTAACTATATGATTACAAGTTTATCGATACAAACTGAACTCAGATCCCATCAACATTAATTAGTAAACAGAACAATCTGAAAGCCGTCTTTAATTACGCTAGTGGAAAGAAACTCGCCTTTGGTACAATGACTACAGATCAATCTATAATGGCGAATCAATTACAATACAAATATGATGGTGCCTAGAGGTTGTGAATTGAAGTGTAGCTAACTTGTTATTTTGCTTCTTTAATACCATTGATCTCTCCTGCAGCTCAGAAGAACTCAAACATCTGAGTTTATTTTCAGGAAAAAAACGTATTTGAGCTGCTCCTTGTGGTTCATGGAAGCTACGGATTTGTGTTGAAGTTTTGAGATGCAGTGATGATAGTGGTGAAGGAAGGGCTAACCAGAAATAAGAGTGAGTGGGTGAGTGACAAAGAGATAGTGGTAATTCGAGAATCTGCATACAACACAAAACATGTTACTGCAAAATCCATATTATAAAACATAAAAAGATACCACAAGGCAAAAGAACATAACTAACCTTTGCTAAGATAAAAACAAACCCCTAAGAGAGCATATCCAAAAAGCTTTTGTCCAATCTACCATCCACTAACATATCCATAACCATTTTAACAGTGGAAGCATCTGCTGAGAAGCCACACCTCTTCATTTCTTCAATGAGTTCAGCTGAAGTGCTTATGTCACTGCCTCGGAGATGAGCTCGGATTAGTGTGTTGTATGGACCACTATTTGGCACAACCCCATCCTCTCCCATTTTTCTAAACAACAAGACCGCTTCAGACAGCGAGCCTTTCTTACATAGTCCTCCAATCATTATGTTGTACGTCTTAACATTAGGCTTCACTCCTTTTAAAGGTAGGCTGCAGAATAATCCCCAAGCATCATCGACCTTACTTGCATTACACATCCCGTGAATGATGATTGTATATATACAAATACCAGGATCAATCTTACACTTGTGCATATTTTCAAGTATTCCTAATGCCTCTTCTACTTCCCCATTGTCACACAACCCATCCAGCAAAATACCATAAGTCATAATACTAGGATGAACACCTTCCGAAACCATCTCTTGGAAGAGTTCTTTGGCCACATCAAGTTTTCCCGATTGACAAAAGCCTTGAATGAGGGTGCTATAAGTGACTGTATTGGCAATCACTCCTCTCAGAGACATTTCGCGGAAAAGTCTCATACCATCATCAACCAGTTTCGCCTTGCAGTAGCCGTTTATAAGGATATTAAACGTCACAATATCATGATCGCAGCCTTTGCTAACCATCAGATCCAACATCTGGATTGCTTCGTCTAAGCGCTTTTCGTTGCACAGCCCATATATCAAAGAATTATATGTAATGGTATTAGGATCTATCCCCCTTGTGATCATCTCATTATACAAGTCTTTAGCCTCAGCAAGCTTTCCCTCTTTCACAAGACTATCAATCAAAGCACTGAAAGTGGCAACGTTGGGGGTGATTTCCCTTTCAATCATATCCCTCAACAACTTTGCACCGTCATCCCATCTACCGACACCACAGAAGCTTCCTATGAGAGAGTTGTAGGTAATGACATCTGCTTTGATACCTTTGGTTTCCATTTCATTAAAAAGGCTGAGTGCATCTTCGAGGCTCCCATCTTTGCAAAGACTGTCAATGATGATATTGTATTTAGCAGCATCGAGCTTGATCTTTCTATCTTCCAACTTTCTGAGCAGATCCAAGGCCAAGGCAGTGTTCCCTGACTTACACATTCTGTTCAAAATTGGACCATAGGTAACTTCACTAGGTTGACATCCATTATCCATCATTCGATCAATCAAAGCCATTGCTTCAGAGAGTCTATCTTGGAGAGAAAGCCCGTTGACAATAGTGTTGAGTATGATAAGATTTGGAATAACCTTCATTTCCACCATACGATCAACTAATTCAACAGCTTGGGAAACTAGACCCTTGAGACATAAACCGTTAATCAAAGTAGAGAATGTGACTGTGTTGGGCTTATACCCAAGTTTCAACATCTTTCCCATCACAGAAAAGGCAAAACCGAGTTTCCTGAGCCGGCAGAAGCAGTTGATGACTATACTCAGCGTATAGATGTTATGTGCAATCCCATTCGACTCCATTTGCTTGCAGAGATCCAAAACGAGATCATAATGTCTCGTTTTAGCAATACCACTAAACAATCTACTGAAATCAACGACGGTAGGACGAGGACGAGACTCAATCATGGTTTGAAACAAAGCAACAGCATCATCTTTTTTTATACCAACAACCCCACTTCTCAGTCTCTCTTCGTAAGAAGAAGAGATCTTTCTATCGCTGCTGCTGCTGACACCACCAGAAAAGCTTCGTTCGCCGAAGAAACACAAGAACTCTTCGTATGGTCTGTAGAGGAGTAAAGAAGTTGTGAGGGTACCTGTCTCCTTGAATCGACGCCGAACAGATCTCAAAGCTTTGCCACTCCGTATCATCAACATCGTCTCTCTCACTGTCTGAGATCGTTCTTTTCCCCAGCTCAAGCTAGCACTGTCTTTATGTCCGTAAAGCCTCCATAGAGTCTTAAGACACGAGCCTTTCAGGGACACGGACAAAAGCGCAACTTTATCGACCAACCGGTCTGAATCAAAACCGAAATTTTTGAACCGAGATTCAGGTTTTGACCCGATGTTGGTCTGTATTGGTCGAGTTTTATACGTCTCTCTCCATATGCATTTACACAACTAAATCAAATCTGGCTTGGTTTGGTAAAAACTCCGGTTTAAGGCTTTTTGTTGGACTCATTTCAATTCAAATAGAACCGTTTCATCCAAAGTTCAAGTTGAGCTTAGCTTAGATGACAGATGTGATTGTAATATTAGACATTAACCATTGACTAAACTGGATTTGACCCTTGGAAAACTTATAATCCCAGTTCAAAAAAATCTTCTTTGGCCAATCTCCAGATGATGAATATCTCAAATAATTCGAGGTCGAGAGAGAGAGAGATAATACAAAGGATTTGTTGCAAGTGAAAGATGATAGATATACAGAACCTGATTCATTTCCAAACCAAACTATAAAAACAAACAAAAGTAATAATAAATTTGCATATATATCAATATCATATCACAAACAATGCATCATATCTAAAAACACCAGTCGTGTTTTACCTTTGGACCCTTAAGTTCATCTTGATCAAATGTTATGTGGGTCATGAATAAGTAAAGCTGTTTCTTCTAGACTTCCTCACGATCCAAGTTGCTACTCTTGAGAATGTTGTATTTGCAGAGTGGGCAAGTCGCGTTTATGTATAACCATTTGTCTACGCACGAGCAGTGGAAATGGTGACCGCAAGGAAGCTCCCTTAGTTCTGTTCCATCTTCATAAGCAGAGAGACAGATGCAACATTCCTATAATGCAGAATCACAAAGCATATAATCTATCTAATGTTTGATCTTTAAGATGAGAGGTGTGAATCTGTGTGTTGTAGTTTTTACTTACTGCATCCTCCTGCAGGAGAGTATGTTCAACGGGTGAATCTGTACCACACTCGGTCATTATTCCATCGGTGTTTCCTTCAGCGTGTTTGTTGACATCACCAACTTTCCGAAACTTAAATTTGGTGAGCTGTTCAATGTCTTCTTTCGAAGCCCCTTCCTGTTTTTCCATCGTGTCGTGTTAAAACAACTAGCAACAAGTAGGGACTTGGGATATAAGATGCATTGGTTATGACAAGTACCTGATCTGCAACAGCGTACAAAACCGCAATGATGCATGGCAAGCAACAGCAAACAGCAATGCCAATAACGCAGGCCAACGCAACACAGAAGACGACGAAGAACACATCGAAACCAAGAAAGACAATAGACAACCTGAAATAAGCAAGGCATTCCGAGACTTAAGGCTGAGTAGTAGGCTTATACCTTGTCAATATTAGAGAAGGAAGTTAGGACAAACCAGTAAATCCGTGGGGATTCTTGTGCCAACTCTTGGCCACCAGCAGATACCCAGTAGAACCCAATGATCCACCAAATAAACGAAAACATGGTGTTGGCAGATTCCAGATGTTTCGCAAAACTGCTTTTGAAACAGTAAGTGAGATTAAAAAAACAACCCGAGACATGGTACTGGATGTGTAAAAGAAGAGGTATGCTGATTCAGTGTGCATGTTTCTCTTATTTTATGTAATAACAAAAGAGTAAGTCTATAAAAGAAGAGGTCTATCTTAACTATCTAATACCTGACAGAGAACAAAATGATGATAGTAACGTAACCTCCACAAGTAGCATTCAATCCCAATTAAAATTGTCAAATGAATCAAGGAAGGAACAGAAAAGATAGACGCTTTGTGTAAAAGGTCCTGACTCCTGACCAAAGCTTTAGCTAAGAAACCACTACAATTTGGAGAAGATCATACTATAAGCAAGCAATTTGAATTGATCATCATCCTAACCGTAACTCACATCCATTGTTATCTTCATCAGCTAATAGAAACCACAACTCAAGTGCAAAAAGCCAGCTTTTTTGTAAAGGCTACCAAGCTAAAGCTCACACTTTTTTTAACGGCTACTAAGCTAAAGCTCACACAAGTATCTGTAAACTGAAATCTTTACCAGCTTAATCCAAAATACACACTAAATTTCATCAGGCACACATGTGATCAAATAGATACCTGTTGCTTTCGCTCTCTATCTGCTCATGTGAACTCCTCCTAGAACCCAAAGCATCTTCCTCCATAGAGGAAGAAGACGACGAAGAACGAGGAGTCCTATTACTTCTCATCCTATTCCTCCTCCTATACTCAACCCCCACACAAACCATATGCAACACACACTGCAACGCATACCCCAACAACCAAACCCTAAGCGGCATAATCGGATTCTCATTCCTACTCATCACAATAACAGCAACAGCCACCGAGACAAACGCCAAGTTCCACACCATGTCCAGCACCACTACGGGCTTCGAGTAAGCCCAATCGCTCTGCCTCTCCTCTAACTGCTCCGCCGCAGCTTCCCTCACGAGCATAGACGGCTCACGCATCGCTCGCCCGCTGCTCGCACGGCTTAGAAACCTGGCCGCTTCCCTTAGACCTTGTCTCCTCACGGATCTACGTTCCCCGACGTTGTTGATTCCCTCGTTTTCGTCGCCGCTTGAAAGAAACGGTGACGGATCGATGGCGTCGGAGGGATTCGCTGTAGTCTCCGTTGACATTGTTTCTTCTAGATTCTTCTGGAAAATAACGTAAATTGATGGAATTGGTGTGGAGTTACGTCATGAAGAGGTGAGGATTTGATGTGAGGAGACGAAATTGGGATTTCTAGGGTTTGGATCGTGCACAGAGAGGAAAGAGAGATGATTGACGATGGTGATTAAGGAAAATTAACAGAATATATAATTGGTCAACGGTCAACAGACGGATAACTAACCGGGGTATAAATGTAAATAGTGAATATATACGAGGTTATTTTAAAACTTTACGTCATATGTGTCTGAAATTCATAGTTCCTCGTTTTTCAGGTCTGTCACTAGCCTTTGAAGTTTTTGCGAATATTTTGATTATTTTGCGAATATGTACGAGGTTAATCAGATATATGATTCTCAATATTTTGCAAATGAAGTTTTTTTGATATGCTTGTTATGGTCTAAAAGATAGATCTTAGAGTACCATTATCCCAGGTGGTTAGTGGATTGTTTGGGGGATGGAATCCACTCAATACACAAAAAACGGATATTTGTGACTGCTAAACAAGCACTGAAACAAACACCGTGTTTTATTTGTTATTTATATTGTACGTGAACCTCATCGATACGTGGCGTTCCATGATTCATTATTTTTTAATGTTTTTAATAGAATCTAAAATAAAAAATAAGCATCTTAAATAGAGTGCTAAGATAATCATGCTTTTATGATCCAACCGATACTATTAAGGTTACATATGATAGGGTATTCGAAACTAGATATGCAATGGAGTTTGATTGTATCTCAGGATAGGCTAAGCTATCCTAATCCTTGGCCCATAAAACAGCTAAAGCATCCAGGTAATTTCCGTTGGCTACCTATGAAATTAGATAATGGTTAAGGTTCATCGGTGTTTAATTAATAATATGCTTTATTTATTCAGATATATGTAGAACTATATTTCTAACCCACGTTTTCTAGATTTCAATTACTTATGTGCTTCTTGAGAGAAAATGTCATGATCAGGGGTGGGTAATATTGAACCGGGTCTGTTATTGAATTACCCGGTCTTGTTATTGACTGTATCGATCCATTAGTCTTTGATAGGTGAAATCAAATGAAGAACGCCAAGCACATTACATAGAATCTATTTTAGTAACTTATTAAGGTGCATTATTGACACTGCATGAAGAAGGTTATTAACTTGTGGCTGAATCACACTCTATGCTCTGTTTAGTATATTGGGGGTGGGGGATATGATCATTTTGGATAGATAAATAAAAAAAAAGGATAATCATCAATATATCTCCTGATGCATCTCAGGAGTTAAAAATACATTCACTTGAAGTCTTTTTACATGCATGTGATCAAATACTATACATTATTACAGCTTATGACCAGACACACACACAGAAGAAGAACCTGCTTGAAATCAAAATTGTGTATTCACCTTGCAGCTAAGACAAATGGATTCAAGATAGATCCCAACACCTTCTCCCCTAAACTTAGGGTGTTAAAGATGAGTGTGATCTTAAGAAAAATGTATAATACCTTATCCTACTAACTTATATATATCTTTTACTTATAACATTCTCTAATCTATTTTCTTATGGAGTTTAACATGGTAACCGTTTGGAAACTGTAATCCTGGAGTTCGAAGTATATTCCCTCCTTTTATTTCGTCCCACCTGATGATTTCAAGGGACATAGATGATAAAAAAATCAACCTTATTGATCTACATGTATTACTAGAAAAAACAATGACATGATCTGTTTTTTTCGAACCTGTATTTTGTAACCAGACTGTGAAGAAACACAGCCATCTGCAATTTAGTGAAGTCAGTTCCAACACAAAACCTCATTCCACCACCAAACGCCATGAAGTGCTTAGATGCATTGTTAGAATTTGATTCCTGTATATGACATCCATTTTTAAATTCAGTTTTTCTTTTTTCAGTTATACTTGTAGTACAAGTTTTCTTAGAAGGGTTTGACCTCACCTCCCATCTTGATGGGTTAAAAACTAAAGGATCTTCATACTTGTCTGGATTCAAATGTACAGCTGGAGGACAGACCATCACCGCCCAGCCGGCTGGAATTGTATAATCTGCATCATTGACAAAGTCTTTAATGATAATATATGAAAAAAAAGAAGCTGTTAAATCATTAGAAAATTTTATTTTTATCATACCTTTATATTTTATATCAATCAAAGCCTTTCTGAAGATTGCAGGAACTATATTTGCAAGTCTTGCTGTTTCGTTAATGAACTGCTTTACACAATATAAGACTTTAGTCAGCTAATTAAGAATAATGTATTGAAACGTAGGAAACTAATCATTACTTTTATGAAACTCGTAAGCAACCTGAAATGTGTAAGTCATTGACTTGTATTCTTCCCATGTAAGTCCGGACTCTGCATCTTCCCGGTTTCTCAGAATTGTCTCATGTTCTTCCTGATTATGATAAACACACTTTAGCATTTTTTTATTAATAATAATCACAAGACATTGACCACTTCTTGCTAAGAGGTTTATGGTTTTCTCTATGTTCACTGACCGTTAAACGCTTTAGAACTTGAGGGTCATCTGAAAGGAACTTGATGGCTAAAGTTAAAGCGAGAGAAGTAGTCTCAAAGCTGGCGAATAGCAAGACAAACATTAAGTCAAGTGCAATCTCCTCTGTCAGAATTGTACCCTCTTTTTGAATCTCTTCAATGACATAATCAAAGAAGTCACTTGGGTTTTCCCGCGGTTTCTTTCGCCTCTCCTGAAGCATATTCCTCAGCATTTTCATTGCATTTTCCCTACCCTGCAAGATCATCTCCAGCATTAGTACCATATAAGAGGCAGGAAATGCTTTAACTATTTTCATTCATATGATGATTCACCACCTTAAGACATTTGTGATAAGCTGTGCCTGGAATGTCAAAAGGGAAAGAGATCAGTCCTTGAATAAAAGCAACAAAGTTTGCCCTTAGATTCTCTGATGACTTGTCTGGATCATGGCTGATCAACTTCTTTGCGGTGAGATCAAATATCATCTGATAAGATGTTTGATGTAATTAGCAACAGGGAATAATTACACTAACAGAGAAAAGTCTATGTTTGAAACTCACGCTTGCGGTTGCATCTTTAAGTTCTACTGATTCTTGATTTGACCAAAGCTCTAATCTCTTGTTTGCAGTCAGCTCAACTTGAGGAAGCATCTTCTTGAGACCATCATAGCCAAAAAGAGTCAAGACCATGCTTTTAAGGTACTTGTACATAAACCCATGTAATGAACCCACATTCTTTTTCCCAAAGATATTGGTGAAAGTGTCTGGATACCAACTCTGGAAACACCGACCCTCTTGTTGAAACACAAAGTAGCTCAGATCAGGATCTGTTGATACAATCACTGGTCTCCCCACGAGATTGGTCTTGAAAATTGTACCATACCTGAACATATTATTAACAGTTTTATAACCTCTGTGTAACAAACAGAAGCATTCATCACATTGGTCTAAACAAGAAAAGAGACATAACTCACTTCTTAACCCTTTGTTTGATAAAAGGAGGGATGTCTGAAGTTGGGTTTGGCTTGAAGAACTGGATAGTCTCACCGAGTAGTGGTAAACCCATAGAACCAGGTGGAAGCTTCCCTCTGCATTTGGGGTTTCTCCAGCTGTAAACCCAATGTGTGATGGTTATGAGAAGCAGAGAAACCCATATGAACAATGCCCACATCACAATTAAGACAATTTAAGAGTATATATGACTTGTTCTTTGGGTTGTTTTCTTTCTTTAGACAGAAACTGAAACGTGTAGAGGAAAGAGACAAAGGAGAAGGAGAAGAAAGAGGAGTTTAGTGCTGGCCCATATTCTTCAGCCATTATGATGAGTGCTTAAATAGGCAAGGCAAGTCTCTACACATAACTCAGATTAGAGATAATAATAAATAATGCAGTTGCAGAATGAAAAAAGGTTTAACCATTAAAAAAAACTTAAATCTGTTTATAGAAACCATACATTATTTATTATTCGTGTGAATGGGCAGCTTTTTTGGGGGAGTAATAAAAAAATCAGAAATCATGAAATGAAGGTTCCTCTTGCCTTCTAGTTTATTGTGTTTCATAGAGCATCATCATATGGCATTAAAACAGCAGTCTGAACATTAGGCAAGTTTACAGCTTCATTTTAGGAGATCAGTTGTGGGCTCTTCCTCTCCACTAGATTTTGATAATAAACTAATGATAATGATAACATATTTGATGTTGTAACTTGAAACTTGACTCATATAGTTATTACACATGGAAAAAAGAGTTTCCAGCTTTACATTACCCAATTGGTAATGTATTTCTCCTTCATATCTATGCTTAAAATCCCTGTATCTAATACAATCTTTGACACCAGGGTAGCAAAATAAATTAACATAATAAGTACTTTTCAGTTTGTTCTCATTCATGCTCAGAATCTCCTCTTTAGATCTGCTTGTCATGTGTTTTTAATCATTATCATTATTTGGTTCATCTACTTTAAAAAAAAATCCCACTGGTCAAACTCAAGATTGATCTTATTGCAAAATAATGTATACATCAGCTTCTAGATCTTGTTCTCAACCACTGTATCTGCTAATTATCTGTTCAGATGAGATAATTAACCTGATAGTTGAATTTACATTATTATCATTATATTTTTTTTGGCTTTTGGTGAGAGACATAATCTCAGTCGGCTCTTGGGACCCATTAGGTTAAACCAATCACAAGACAATTTAGCCATTGAGCCACGGGCTCAGGTTTTATGCAACAAACCATGCAGTTTTACTTTCCACCCACGAAAGCACACCCAGCTGTTGGTAGGTCACTGTTGAATACTCTCCATTATTATTCTTTTTTTCTGTTATTTCATAGATAATACAGATTGAATGTTGCAAAAATGGTAACAAAAAGTGCTTTCTTTATCAGTAATCCTGGGTCAAAACGAAAACTTTAAAGTTTAGACCTAGAAGCTAGTACTATACACAGAATGATTAAGAGTTCAAGACAAAGCCTATAATAAGAGCCTAGAATCTCCTTTTATAGGGAAAACAAAGAAACATGAGGATTAAGACTATTGTCAGTGCTTTGCTTATAATTGTCGTCAAGTTTTGCTAAACCTCATTATGGTGTTTGGGGCTAGAGGTGAAATGATGTGTGTATATGTTTGCCAGATTCTGTGATATGGTATGAGTAGCATGTTACATATTTGCTGAAGAACATCCAAAATAGTAACCCAATTAGGGTTTTAGTGAAATTAATAAACAAAGTATTGAAAAATAATAATAGTTATTACAGTATTGGTATGTGATTGTTAGGGGGGATGTACCAAGATATAGACAACTCAACTAGTTTATGGTTTATAATGTTCTTGTTCTGTGCTTAATAATAAACTCATCAAATTAACCTGATATCAGTTTAGATATAATTTCATTTGGTATTCATAATAGTGTCTAAGATAATTTTATTTATATTGCGTTAAAATAGTAATATTATTATTTAGTAGCTTAATTAGCTTCAAATTGGAGTTTTGCCATCTTGTTTTACTGTCTCTGATTATAGCTTTTCGAACTTGGTGGCATGCAATTTTGGTGATTGAGTTTATGAAATTACCTGTAATCATAATTTTTAGGGTTTAAATTAAATAAAGAATTAGAAAATCCTAATTATTGTAATATTGGACGGAGCTTAAAGTGCTTTTGGGTCAAACTTATTGGCTGTGTAGTTTTAACACAGAAAGGTGGCCACGTGATACATATCTTCGTATTGTAAACATATCATTCTTCTTATATTTTTTTAAAAAATCATAGCATATTTATTTATTTTATTTTCCTACCCTTCCACAGTCATGTATTTATGTTTACAATTTATAAATTCATAGCATATTGTAGATGCCGTGACTTACCATATTTATTTATAAATAAGCAACTTTTAGAAACGTTTAATAAAAGTGAGAAATATTTTAACTTGCAAGCCTATAGAAAAACGCTAGCTGAGCGGCAAAAATTATGAACTTTGTTCAGAAGATTTATTTTTGTCAGTGAACAACAATATATAAATTTACAGATACATATATAGAAACGTAATTAAAAACGTATTTATTAGAAGAAATAAGACTTTATAATTAAAGCTTCCTTTTGAAGTAATTAAAGCTTCTTGAAGCTACACAACACGAACACGAGGATTTGAGAGAATTGTGGAGAAAGTTCGTTAACATTGTCTGTTCCGTACGCATGTGGCAAGCACATATTTATATTCTTTTATACTTGAAAAAAAATACAAAGAAAAGAAAAGAGCAAATTATCGATGCTTTAAATATACTGAAATATGTAGAAAATTATATAGACCGAGAAAAGTTGGAGACCCTAACATTTTATCAGTTACGTCATTGTTATGAATGTCAAAACAAGGACAGCTCTGCAAAGGAAACAAAAGAGAATCTAATAAGTAAAAGTCATCTTAACATGTATAGATGATTTCTAATAGGGAAGATGTCATTTTTATTGGACAAAAATATACATTTTACGACGATTAACGAGCTAATTAACATGTGGAAGGGGCAAAGATATGTGTTTTCTAAGTTTAAACTGACAAAATCATTAAGGTTAAAAAACAAATAGATGACATATTTGGTCGTGAGTGTCTGTTTGTCCCCATGGCCATAGGGTTTGACCTTTCATAAAAGTAAAACGCCAGTCGTGGTGAGGAGTCACATATCAAACCATATGGTTTACTTTTTTTTTCTCTTCTCATATAATATAGTTTTCTCGTACTTTATATTTTGTTGTACTTAGTAATTTCAAGCCACGTTACTTAATAGTTAACAGGAGTGGTCTAGTGGATTTGTAGGGTTTCCGATAATTTTAATCAGAAAATTTTTAGGCCATAAGATTAAAATACATTTTTCAACGATGCGTATTAAATAAGGCTAATCAAGTTAATTAGTAACTTGGCTAATCTTTAAAATGAAGACAGATTTCCTTGTGATACAATACAAAGTGAATTTGGTTGTTAATTTTTTCATAAAGCGATATATTTCAAAACAAAACTCGTATACTAATGAATTTTCTATTCATGTTATTAATATTTTTGTAAGCAATTTGGGTGTTACTTATTACAAGCCAGAGAAAATCCTATTATACTTTTATAATCCTTAAATGGACGATTGTAAGAAAAGTGAAAAAACTTAGCCAAGGAATGTGTGTAATATGGATATATACTTCCAAAAACTACAGAGGAATAATCAAATTTGACCATATAAAAAGTTAATTTCAAATGAATGTTTATGCGGGATAGACTGTATTTTCTTATATGCAAATAAACTGTAATCAAAAACCTATATTTATGTGGATGTCTAGGAAAATGTACTATAATTTTATATAGTAGATAGATGAAACTTGAAATGTATTGGTATTAAAAATCCGTCTCTTTATCATTCAATTATAAGAGCACTTCTAAAAGAGTTTTCTTGACTAAAATATCTCAACAAATTAATAATGAAAACATGTATCTTAAACAATATACTCTAAAGCTGTACGTAGCCAAATGTATGAATGCTATGAAAAAAAAAATATGAATGCTATGAATGAAAAAAAAAATTAGAAAATAAAATATGGAATTTCATTCCATCTGATTCCACTTCATTCACAAGAATTTTAAATTATGAATATTTATAACTATATTTCATTTTCTTCATCTACTCCAAAAAGGAATCATTGAAAGGAAATTTAATTTTTATTCCAGTTAAATGGTAATTTTTTTTGGAACAATAGGAATATATAATTTCATATTTATTTATTATAAAAAATGGTAACCCAGTTGCATCTTAAGAACTTTTTTTAAATAGTATAAAAACACATGACAAGTTTTTGATGACTAATTTTGTTTTAAGAATTAAAACTGAATACACAAATAATAAATAATTATTAAGATACTCGTAAGTTAGCATCCCCCACCCCCACCAGTAAGGTTGCACTAAGTTAAAACAAAAGAAAAACAGAAAAAAAAAAGTTGCTCTAAGGTACCAGTGAAATTCTTCTTGAAAGCTTATGACATCAATTAGCATTTTCTTAAGAAGGCAAAAAATAAATAAGCAACTGGAGAAGAAAACTATGGGAAAAGTGAAATAATTGGCAGTGAGGTAAGCAATGACTAAAAAGACTCCGTCATAACTTTAGGCCTAGGGAAACATGAATACCACTTTTTAATATGCAAATCATATAGATAACGTATAGTATATAGTTGCATGGCGTCGTTTTCTATATTTTAACGTAAGTTATTTATTATCATTATAAGATTTGATTAAACTTGAAAGGCATAATAAAATTGATGCTGATAACTCCAAAAGTGCTAATTTGTTTTGCTCATACTTCAAAACCACGTGATTTTGCACTTATCATAAAGTCCACCCAAATTTAATGGATCACCCATCACGAACAAAAAAAAGTTTAATAAATAATACTCAATGTTTTATATTATATGTTGTCCACTTATCTTCTACAGCTATGTTTTATTTGCTTTAAAGATTAGTTTTAGGGGGTGTTATTGGATTGGGAATTCAATGTATTGTAATGTAACCGTAAATAGAAGTATTTGAGTGTATTTCGCTGAACTCTAAAAAACTGTATAAAGGATTTTAGTGGTTTTGATTGTAATATACTTTTGACTTTCGTGGGGATTTTAATGGAGTTTTTTTGTTTTGTAATTAGTTTCGTAACTATTTGGGTACAATCTCAATCTAGAACTAGTTGTCGTGCGATGTGAAGAAGAAACATTTTCATCATCTAATGCTGTGCTTTTTTTCTCATATTCTCATCCTCAGATTCTGGATCCTATAAAGCAATGAGGTTTTGATAATCAAAGAAGCAGTTTCAAATCCACCAATACTACCAGAAAATCCTTGATACCATTTGGGATAACCACTTCAACAAAAATCTGACTTCAAATCGAAAAAGATAGACAATGAAAGCCAAGAAATAACCAAATGAATAAAAACACGTATTTGCAAATAATTACGAAACTAATTACAAAGCAACGTTCATAACCAAGTACTTCAAAAACCACATAAAAAGCATCGGATTTGTTTCCTCTTGTTTTTAATAAAAAAGTACATCCAAATCAATTATAACTGAATTCAAGCAAAATCTAATGAATATTGAATAACATGTGATTTCCTTGGATTTTAATGGACTCTCATCAAATACTCAATTCAATAACACTGGATTTAACTTCAGAATTGAAGTACATCCAATTCTATTAAATTCCCCAATTCAATAACACCCTCTTAGTCTTTATAATATTAAGATCATAGCCACAATTTTAAATTACAATCCTTTGTGGTTATTGCATGCTAGGTCTCTAAAACTTCTCATAACATGTGTGCATGATGAGACATTTAAAACAATTTATTTATTACAAACTTATAAAGTTTGCAACTTGGATTGATTGGTAATTTCACACCAGTCGCTACAACATTATTAACGGTTAGTAACTAACATATCGCATAAGTTCTCTGCGGCATTTAGACGAACAGGTTGTGTGCGATGGTATTGTTTTACAGAAAGTCGACCACACTTAATCTAAAAGCTTCGAGATTGGTACAGCTTCATCTCCTGGAGACAGGTATGCTTAGAAATGATATTCTCTGTAGCTTATCTAGCTTCTTGTCTTGCTGTAGACAAGACTTCTCTAGTATTACCGATGTAAAAGTCTGTTTCAGAGAGAGATTGAGAAGTGGACTAATCAATATCAAGAAAGATGATGCTGTTGCTTTGTTTCACTCCATGATTAGGTCTAATCCTCTTCCTACTCTCATTGATTTCAGTAGATTGTTTAGTGGTATTGCCAAGACAAAACAGTATGATCTTGTGTTAGATCTCTGCAAGCAAATGGAACTAAACGGTATTGCACATAACAACTACACTCTCAACATTATGATCAACTGCTTCTGTAAGAGTTGTAAAACTTGTTTTGCTTACTCTGTTTTGGGGAAAGTCATGAAGCTTGGGTTTAGCCCTGACACAACCACATTCAACACTCTCATCAATGGACTCTGTCTTGAAGGTAAAGTCTCTGAAGCTGTGGGTTTGGTTAATAAAATGGTGGAAAATGGATGTCAAGCAGACACAGTTACGTTTGGTTCTATAGTCAATGGGATATGTAAATCAGGAGATACTTCTTTAGCCTTGGATTTTTTGAGGAAGATGGAGGAAAGTAATGTGAAGGCTGATGTGGTTACGTACAGTACAGTGATTGATAGTCTTTGTAGAGATGGGTGTATGGATGATGCAGTTAAGCTTTTAAATGAAATGGAAAGGAAAGGGATCAAGTCTAGTGTTGTTACATTTAATTCTCTAGTAGGTGGGTTTTGTAAAGCTGGTAAATGGGATGAAGGTGCGAAGATTTTGAAGGATATGATTGGTAGGAAGATTATTCCGAATGTTGTCACTTTCAATGTGTTGATTGATGTTTGTGTCAAAGAAGGGAAGCTTGAGAAGGCTAAAGAGTTTTACGAGGAGATGATCATGAGAGGTGTGTCTCCCAATACTATTACTTATAATTCATTGGTGGATGGGTTTTGTATGCAGAACCGGCTCGGCGAGGCTAACAAGATGTTGGATCTTATGGTTGGGAATAACTGCAGTCCTGATCTTGTGACTTTTAATAGTCTCTTGAAAGGATATTGTAAGGGGAAGAAAGTTGATGATGCTATGAAGCTCTTCAGAGAGTTTCCTGAGAAGGGATTGGTTGCCAATGAAGTTACTTATAGTATTCTTGTCCAGGGGTTTTGTCAATTCGGGAAAGTTGAGATTGCTGAGGAGCTTTTTCGAGAAATGGTTTCGTGTGGTGTTGTTCCTGATGCTATGACGTATGGTATATTGCTTGATGGTTTGTGTGAGAATGGGAAGCTTGAGAAGGCGTTGGAGATATTTAAGGATTTGGAAGAGAGTAAGATGGATCTTGATGTTATTATGTATACGATTATGATTGAGGGGATGTGCAAGAGTGGAGAGGTGGATGATGCGTGGACGTTGTTCTGTAACCTACCTTTGAAAGGAGTGAAGGCTAATGTTAAGACGTACACAGTGATGATTTGGGGATTGTGTAAGAAAGGGTTGTTGTCTGAAGCAAACATGTTGCTTAGAAAAATGGAGGAAGATGGGATTGCGCCAAATGATTGTACATACAACACTCTTGTCAGGGCATATCTCCGAGATGGTGGTGACTTAGCCACATCAGCTAAGCTTATAGAAGAAATGAAGAGTTATGGATTCTCAGCAGATGCTTCCACTGTAAAAATGGTTATGGATATGTTATCGGATGGTAGATTGGAGAAAGGCTTTTTGGATATGCTTTCTTAGTGGTTTGTTGGTGTTTTGTCTAATTGTGTCTCGGACCGTTGAAAAGGTATGTGACTATGGTTAGGAGTTAGGACTTATCATAGGCTTAAGGTTGATTATGTATTGGCTAATAATAGATTCTAATTAATAAACGAACAGGTTCTGTAAACTAATTGATCACTAAGACGGGAACAGAACTAAGAGAGCTTCCTTGTGGCCACCTTCTCCACTGCTCATCCTCAAGAGTAGCAACTTGGAACGTGAAGAAGTCTAGAAGAAACAGTTTTGGTTATTCGTGACCCATACAACATTTGATCTAAAGAAACTTGGGGGTCCAAAGGTAAAAAAGCGACTAGTGTTTTTTAGATATAGAAATTAATATACTTTTGTTTGTTTTTAATAATTAAGAATTTTGAATGGTTAATGTCTGATATTACTTACAAGCACATCTGTCATCTAGCCAAAGCTAAGCTCAACTTGAACTTTGGATGAGATGGTTCAATTTAATTTGAAATTGGAACAAGAAAAAGAGCCAAATTTAAACCGGAGTAGTAACCAAACCAAGTCGGATTGGGTTTACTTGTGCAATATAATAAAGATGCAGAAAACCGGACCAAGACAGACCAACATCTGAGTCAAAACCGGAATCGAACACAATTATCATTCATGCGACACAAAATTGCTCGTATATTTCGGTTTGATTCAGACCGGTTGAGTGGAATTGAATCGGTTTGGCCGATAAAGTTGCGATTTTGTACGTGTCACTGAAAACTCGTGACTTGGCCTTTTCTTTTGGAGGGTTAGACATAACGACAGTGTGAGCTTTGAGCTGGGGGAAAAGAACGATTCAGGTTGAGAGACGATGTTGATGATACGTAGTGGGAAAGCTTTGAGATCTGTTCGGCGTCGATTCATGGAGACAGGTACACTGAGAACTTCTTTACTCCACAGACCATACGAAGAGTTCTTGTGTTTCTTCGGGGAACGAAGCTTTTCTGGTGATGTCAGCAGCGATAGAAAGATCTCTTCTTCTTACGAAGAGAGACTGAGAAGTGGGATTGTTGGTATCAAGAAAGATGATGCTGTTTCCCTTTTTCAGACGATGATTGAGTCTCGTCCTCGTCCCACTGTCGTAGATTTCAGTAAATTATTTAGTGGTATTGCTAAAACGAAACATTATGAGCTCGTGTTGGATCTATGCAAGCAGATGGAACTGCAAGGGATTGCACATGACAACTACACGCTGAGTATTGTCATCAATTGCTTCTGCCGGCTCAGGAAACTTGGTTTTGCTTTTTCTATGATGGGAAAGATTTTGAAACTTGGGTATGAGCCTGACAGAGTCACATTCTCTACTTTGATTAACGGTTTATGTCTCGAGGGTCGAGTTTCCACAGCTGTGGAATTAGTTGATCGTATGGTGGAAATGAAGGTTCTACCAAATCTCATCATACTTAACACTCTTGTCAATGGGCTTTCTCTCCAAGATAGACTGTCTGAAGCAATGGCTTTTATTGATCGAATAGTGGATAAGGGATGTCAACCCGACGCATTTACCTACGGTCCAATTTTGAACAGAATGTGCAAGTCAGGGAACACTGCCTTGGCCTTGGGTCTTCTCAGAAAGATGGAATGTAGAAAGATCCAGCTCAATGCTGCCACATACAATATCATCGTTGACAGTCTTTGCAAAGATGGGAGCCTGGAGGATGCTCTCAGCCTTTTCAATGTAATGGAAACCAAAGGAATCAAAGCAAATGTCATTACCTACACCTCTCTCATAGGAGGCTTCTGTAGTGCCGGTAGACGGGAAGATGGGGCACAGTTGCTGAGGGATATGATTACAAGGGGAATCACACCGGACCGCATCACTTTCAATACTTTGATTGATTGTTTTGTGAAAGAGGGAAAGCTTACTGATGCTAAAGAATGGTTCAATGAGATGATCAAAAAAGGTATAGATCCTAATACCATTACATATAGTTCTTTGATATATGGGCTGTGCAACGAAAAGCGCTTACATGAAGCCAACCAGATGTTGGATCTGATGGTTAGCAAGGGATGCGACCCTGATATCATGACGTTTAGCATCCTTATAAACGGCTACTGCAAGGCGAAACTGGTTGATGATGGTATGAGACTTTTCCGTGAAATTTCTTTTAGAGGGTTGGTTGCTGATACAGTCACATATAACACTCTCATCCAAGGGTTTTGTCAGTCAGGAAAACTTAATGTTGCCAAAGAACTCTTCCAAGAGATGGTCTCTGAAGGTGTTCATCCTGATATTGTGACGTATGGTCTTTTGATGAATGGGTTGTGTGACAATGGAGAAGTAGAAGAGGCATTGGAAATACTTGAAAAGATGCACAAGTGTAAGATTGATCCTGGTATTGGGATCTATAATATCATCATTCACGGGATGTGCAGTGCTAGTAAGATCGATGATGCTTGGGATCTATTCTGCAGCCTACCTTTGAAAGGAGTGAAGCCTGATGTTAAGACGTACAACATAATGATTGGAGGACTATGTAAGAAAGGCTCGCTGAGTGAAGCTGGAATGTTGTTTAGGAAAATGGGAGAGGATGAGATTGCGCCAGATGATTGTACGTACAACATACTAATCCGAGCTCATCTTCGAGGCAGTGACATAAGCACTTCAGTTCAACTCATGGAAGAAATGAAGAGGTGTGGCTTCTCAGCAGATGTTTCCACCATAAAGATGGTTATGGATATGATATCGAATGGCAGATTGGACAAAAGCTGTCTAGATATGCTTTCTTAGAATCTTTGGATCTTATTTGCAAGAGACAAACGCCTCGGTTAGTGTTTTATGAGATGTATTGGGCTTATTAGTTGAAACTAAGTTTGTTTGTTAGCATCTAAACAGAGCCTTGATATGCCTTCAGCATTGTCCTTATTTTATTGCTTTAAGTGTTTCACTTCTGATTCATGCTGATGTATTTATTCTGTTTAGTAATAAGATGTCTCAAGTGCATGCAATCTTCACTTGGGCGAAACATGGACTATAAGTGAAGTATGTTCTTTCTTTCTTGTCAACTAAGTACAAATCTACTATTGGTATCTGTAACTAAACCCGGTTTTAAAATGATATAAGCCGAGCCAAAAACTCTGACTGGTTTTTAGCAGACCACGTCATGAAGCGAATCGGGTTTAGATATACATGTTGAACGGGGTTTAGACACATGATTATCGAACCGGGTTTTCTGTTCTCCACCAAAGCACAGATCGACGCAGAGAACGGTGGATGATGCATGGACGTTATTCTGTAGCCTACCTTTGAAAGGAGTGAAGCCTATTGTTAAGACATACACGGTAATGATCTGGGAATTGTGTAAAAAAGGGTCACTTCCTGAAGCAAACATCTTGCTTAGAAAAATGTAGAAAAGATAGGAAATGCGCCAAGTGATTGTACATACAACACTCCTCTTGGCCGTCTCAAATTATTTATAGACCTAGTTCAAGAAAATACTAATGATATGTTTAGATTTAATAAAGAAATTTTAAAAGTCAATAACTAGGTTTGATGAATCTTTTAACATTATAAGTTCTAATCTAACAATTTTTATAATATTATTTGATAAATCAGTCTCCTATTTGTCGAGCTCATATTAATTTTCTCACGATTGTTGATTAGATACATACCTTTAATGAACTAAAATAATTTTTTTTATTTTCATTAATGATAATTATTTATCTTTCATTTTTCTTAATAAAATTTTGATTAATTTTTTTTTAATTTAAGTTTCTTTATTTTACTAAATCACTTAAATAATAAAAATTAAATATTTGAAAAAGTATTCTTAATTTGATTAAGTTTATTTATTGCATTAGTAAATATTTTCAGTAAAAAAATATTTAATTTTCAAAAATAATTGGTAACAAGGAAGATTATTTAAACTCATACTCATATATTTTTACCTAGAATAAAAAATAATTTTGTTTCGATTTGAAAACGTGTAACTAAATATAACCAGCAAAATTAGTAACTTAAATAATCTAAAATCAGAATTCTTAATGAAAAATTGATCAAAAATCTTATAGTTAAACTTGGAGAAGAAAATTCAATCCAATATATCCAAATATATCTAAAATTTTAAAGTTGTAATCATAATTTATTTATATATATTTTAAAAATCTTTATTTTTTCTTTATTTCTTCTTATTTTTTTCTTATTTATTCTTATTTTTTTTCTTATTTTTATATTTGCTTCATGTTTGACCGCTCCACTTGTACCGGTCCTGAAGTAGAACCCTCTACAATCACATCTCGTGTCTTGCCTTCTTATAAGACTAATGACAGAAGCTTTTGGCTAACAAATTCACAATGGAACATGTATTACTACCAAATAAAATATATCATGTGTTTTTCCTGTATATGTAGAAACTAGGGTTCAAACAAGCAGTAACTTGAAAATAAAAGTTTCAGGATTTCACATATGAATCCAATAACGTTTTCTTGTAGTCCCATAATCTTTTTACTGTTATAATACCCATAACTCATTACTATTAAAATCAATTCCATTTCATTATAGATAAGCATGTGATAGTGCTAAAGAATTTTACTTGGTTTACCGGCCATTGGTGAAAAATGAAATTTATTATAAACTGCCTCATTTTTCATGGAAGCATTCGCTCCATTTGAAAGATGTCTGACATCAGGGAAGAAATGTCGTTGTTGGCATCAATATTTAGGAATTCTTCTAAAGTACACATATCTAGAAGACTTTTGAGAAGTGAAGTGGCATCCAATCGACATTGGCTTCGGTAGGAGACACCTTTAGCTTTTTCAAGCAAATATCAACAAGGGAAAGTGCATGTGTACTGTTTTCATGCATGATGGTAAGTACCTACAAAGAAAAGAAAAGTCCCAAAATAGAGAAAAATGAGAAACCAAGGAAATGTATGAGCACTTACGATGGCTGTCGATGACATATCATTTACGAATTCTCCATGAAACACCAACTATAACATATTTTCTGCACTAAGAATATACATATTTTTGTAGTGTCTTAAAGTTACTGACCATATCAGAACACAACTTGACTTGGAATGCAAGTTCCGCATTGAAGTGTAGAGAATTTGAATAGAGGATATAAACTAACCTGATTAGATGATTCTTCTTGACTCAAGGATCCATTAACCAAGAAAGAAAATAAAAAGGATGAACAAGTCAATTTTTGACAAGAAAATACTTTTTTTTTTTCAAAGTGACAATGAAATAGAAGGAGTATATATACACCTAATATTGTTCATAACCCATCATCTACCGTTCTAGTTACGACGAACAAGTTTGGGCAAAGTGAACCTTAGGCGCGTTGAACATTTTCCGGGCATGGCAACAATCACCATGGTCTGTTTTCATATTATTACTTGACTTGGATTTCTTTAGTTAATGACATTAAGTAATGCTACAAGCAACTTATTTACTTTTTCTTTCTTCATATTGTATGTTGTTATATGCTTATTACGTGTACATGTATTTTTCTTCCTCGATCTCCCTCAATAGTAAGTTTTCCTAGTCATATCAGCATTAAGAAACAGTAGTCAGTGTACTGCTTCGTCTGCACACTTTATTGTTGTTACTGATGCAATTGTCATTGAAAACGAATACAACCACCACACCACTGAGAACTTGCAGAGCACATTTGCAAATTATTTGTTTTAGTTCATCGTAAACCTAGACATTAATTGTGTAATCCCGAGATGGACTTACTCAAATCATGTGAAGAAATTAATCCGTAGTACAAGAGAATTGTATAGTAAAAGTTCTAGTGAAGAAGCAATTTCTTGAACATCCATAGAATTGGCCATATGTAAATTGTGTTACAGGAAATGCTTGCTGCTGCCGGGGTAGCTCTTTAGGTTGAGCTTCACTTGTGGGAAGTCTTTGATAAAGTGTTACAAACACAACTAAAAACGAGCAAATCTTATACTGCCCATAGGAACATAGTAGCTCAAGGAAGAAGCATGAAAAACACCAAATGGCAGGATATATGGCTTTTTCGGTTTGATGGTTTGTGTGAGAATGGGAAGCTTGGAAAGGCGTAGAAGATATTTAAAGATTTGGAAGAGAGTAATATGGAGCTTGATGATGTTGTTATGTATACGATTATCATTGAGGGGATGTGCAAGAGTAGAAAGGTGTTGGATCCAATTTCAGTAAGATATTAAAGAGGTCCAAGGTCATACGCCATTATCACCAATTCGATCTAAATCGAACACGACGAGGTTGAACCACCACTTTGAAGATCGCGAAGCAGTTAGAGGAGAAAGAAACTATAAAAGAGGAGCTACAGCGGATCATAACACACACGGAAAAACTCTAAAACAAATCACAACTCCCATCAACATCACATCTTAACATTTAGTTCGCTTATAGTTTCAATCTCTCTTTGATGTTATCGATCTTGATTATCACATCGAACCATATATTCAATAAAGTCCATTTTTGTCAACCGAATTTTGATTATATCGTTGTGTTCTAAGAGTATCGTTGCCCACATCATTTGTCTTCCCTGGATTGAACTCTTAATCACTACAAAATACTTAGTGTGGATATTAGGATCTACAAAAGGTGGATGATGCATGTAGGTTGTTCAGATGCTTCAACTCCTAGGATGGTGATGGATATGTTATCGAGCCGTGAATTGGATAAAAGCTTTTTGGATATGCTTTCTTATTAGTGGTTTGGTGGTGTTTTGTCTATTGTCTCAAGAGCGTTGAAAATGAATTATTTTATGAAGCATTGATTGTGATATCATGATACTGATATATATATATATATATACAAATTTTTTATCAGTTTTGTATGTTTTTATAGTTTGGTTTTGGAAAGGAATCAAGTACTGTAAATCTTATATCTATCATCTGTCACTTACAACCAGTTTTTTCTTTGTATTACATTTCTTTGTGGTTATATAAGTTTTTCCAAAGGTCGAGTTCAGTTTGGTCGATGGATAAGAATCTTGAAATTGTTAGCTAAGATCAAGTTGAATGTTGGATGAAATGGTTTAATGAATGGGAATTGATCCAAGAAAAAGAGGGAAAGTTAACCGGAGCTTTTATCAAACCAAGTCGGAAAATAAAGACCAACATCGAATGAAAGCCTGAATCGAACATAATAATATCAGTTTTCCAACAGACCGTTATGGGTCTGTAACAATGAATGAAATTATACCGGGTTGGTCCGTGTGCCATAAGCTCGTGGCACATCGAGTCGGTAACCAAAAAAAAAATCGAACACAATTATCTCGGTTTAAATCTTCGTATTTAATTTTATATATACATCTAACAAAATATCTCGTATATTTCGGATTGATTGAGACCGGTTAAATGAAATTGAATCCGTTTGGTCGATAAAGTTCACTAATCTCTCAACTATGTTCACATGTTAGAAAATTAAAATTCACTTGAACTGGTTTTGTATTACTTATAAAACCAAATTGAACCGGGTTTAGGTACATGACTATCGAACCGGGTTTTCATTTTGTCTCCTCCCAAGCACAGATCGCCGCAGAGGAAAAAAAATGGAAGCCATCGTCTTCGTGCCCTAAGAAAAAAAGGAAGGATTCATCTGAAGAAGAAGATGATGTTACGAAGATTGATTCCTCTTCATCGAAAAGATTTCACTTTGATTCAGCCTCGTACTGCTAATCCATACGAGTTCTTGTCTTCCGCCTTCTCTGTTGTCAGTGATGGTAGAGTTTCGTACTCAGAGAGATTGAGAAGTGGTCTCGTCGATGTCAAGAAGGATGATGCTGTTGCTCTGTTTCAGTCCATGGTTCGGTCTCGTCCTCTTCCTACTCTCATAGATTTCAACAGATTGTTTACTGCAGTAGCCAAAACAAAACAGTATGATCTCGTTTTAAGTCTGTGCAAGCAAATGGAACTGAAAGGGATTGAGTTTGATCTCTACACTCTCAACATTACAATCAATTGCTTCTGCCGTCGTAGTAAGCTCGGTTTTGCCTTTTCTGTTTTGGGGAAGATGTTGAAACTTGGGTATAAGCCCAACACAGTCACATTCTCTACTTTGATTAACGGTTTATGTCTCAAGGGTCTAGTTTCCCAAGCTGTGGAGTTAGTTGACCGTATGGTGGAAATGAAGGTTATACCAAATCTTATTATACTTAACATTATTGTCAATGGACTTTGTCTCAAAGATAGAGTATCTGAAGCTATGGCTTTGATAGATCGGATGGTGGATAATGGATGTCAACCCAGCGAAGTTACTTATGGTCCTATTTTGAACAGAATGTGCAAGTCAGGGAAGACTGCCTTGGCCTTGGATCTGCTCAGAAAGTTGGAAGATAGAAAGATCAAGCTCGATGCTGCTAAATACAGTATCATCATTGATAGTTTTTGCAAAGATGGGAGTCTCGAAGACGCACTTAGCCTTTTCAATGAAATGGAAACCAAAGGTATCAAACCAAATGTCATTACCTACAATTCTCTCATAGGTGGCTTCTGTCGTGCTGGAAGATGGGATGATGGTGCACAGTTGCTGAGGGATATGATAGAAAGGGAAATCACCCCAAACGTTGTCACTTTCAGTACGTTGATTGATTGTCTTGTGAAAGAGGGAAAGCTTAGTGAGGCTAAAGACTTGTACAATGAGATGATCACAAGAGACATAGATCCTGACACAATTACATTTAATTCTTTGATATATGGGTTGTGCAACGAAAAGCGCTTAGATGAAGCCAACCAGATGCTGGATCTGATGGTTAGCAAGGGATGCGATCCGAGTACCGTGACTTATAGTATCCTTATAAACGGCTATTGCAAGGCTAAACAGGTGGATGAAGGTATGAGACTTTTCCACAAAACGTCTTTGAGAGGAGTGGTTGCCGATACAGTCTCTTATAACACTCTCATCCAAGGCTTTTGTCAATCTGGAAAACTTAGTGTCGCCAAAGAACTCTTCCAAGAGATGGTCTCTGAAGGTGTTCATCCTAATATTATGACTTACGGTATTTTGCTGGATGGGTTGTGTGACAATGGAGAACTAGAAAAGGCTTTGGAAATATTTGATCAGATGCAGAAAAGTAAGATGGAACTTGATATCGGTATATATAGTATCATCATTCACGGGATGTGCAGTGCAAGTAAGGTCGATGATGCTTGGGATCTATTCTGTAGCCTCCCTCTCAGAGGAGTGAAGCCTAACGTCAGAACATATACTATAATGATTGGAGGGTTATGTAAGAAAGACTCGCTGTCTGAAGCGGTCCTCTTGTTTAGAAAGATGGGAGAGGATGGGGTTGCGCCTAATAGTTGTACATACAACACACTAATACGAACTCATCTCAGAGGCAGTGACATAAGCAATTCAGTTGAACTCATCGAGGAAATGAAGAGGTGCGGCTTCTCAGCAGATGCTTCCACCATAAAGATGGTTATGGATATGTTAGTGGATGGTAGGTTGGACAAAAGCTTTCTGGATATGCTTTCTTGAACGTCTAATCTAAGGTGTGTTTTGCTCTGTTTATGCTTTAGGAAAGGTGTGTAAAATTTCAAGATAGTAACTACAACTGAGCCAAACTTGCAAGATTAATGACTCCTTAGCACTGCGATAGATTTCATGTGCTCCAAACACTTCCCCTGTTACACTTTTGTGTATCTGTTAATATATTCAAATCTGTATTCAAAATTCTGAAGCTCTGCTAGAAAAGCTGAGGTGGTAAAGAGAAGATCTCTGAGTCTTGACCATATATATTACTTGGAATTGCTCCATATATGAGGATGCAAACCCAATATCCTGACAAAATCAGAGTATCAGGAAACTCATTGCAAGTGGTCATTCTCGTAGCACTCTCAAAGGTAAAGCCACATCCATGTCACCAAAACTGGAAGAGTATAAGGATTTGTCTAATCGATTGTAAGGTGGCATCGAAAACAAAAATCATAGGCTCCATCATCAAGGACTGAACGGTCATGAGCCACACCATCTGGACCATCAACAACCTCACAAATTCCTGTTCCATGCATAAGCAACACTATTGTCTCCCTCCCTTACCACTCTTTTCTGGCCTCACTGGTACCTGGTAACGTCAGAGCATCAAAGCCCTGGCTGCTCGTGAGTTTCATTCCCACCAACCTTCTTTTTTTTTACTTCTAAATGATTTTTTTTTTGTATGTTTATATAGTTACACTGCATTACTAATTCATATATACAGTAAGAAAACGTAAGACAATAAATAATAATTTGCACTTACTAAAAGTAACTAGTCCATAGTTGACCAAAAAGAACAATAATAGAAACAAATTGACGTGGTGTTCTGGAAAAAAAAAGAAACAAATTGACGCAATCTCAAGCCTCGATATGGTTCAATCAAAATCATAATAAACCGGATTTCTAACGACCGACATTGCGCCGGTTTAGAGAGAAAGAGATATAAATAAACAACACAATCTCCTTATAACCTTTCTTCTTAACGAAGATCTGCTCTACATAAATTCAGCCTTAGCTTTTTTCTTCTCTTCCCCCAAAAGATCGCTTCGTCGAGAATTCTAGGGTTTCGATCTTCGCTACTCTTTTGATTTCTCGGGATTCGATTCCGTGCTTCCTCTCTCGATTTATCGCCAATTTCGCCTCGATTCGCTCAATTGTGCCCTCATCAGTCCCTCTGATCGCCTTCGTCTCGAGGTTCGTTATCTTCCCTAATTTCTTAGCTTCATCCTCTTTCTATAGTTCGATCAAGGAATTGAGTGTAGGGTTTAGCTGTTTCGATGTAGTATTCCGGGAAAGTTTTTGTCTTTCGCGGGAAAATCTGCATTTCTGCTTCATTGACTGCTCTTTAGATTATTGTATTTGTTAAAGTTTTGTTTTTTTTTCTCTATGCCCTTACGCTGATGACTGATTGGTTTTTTCTAATTTTTGTAGGAGAAAGACAAGTGATTCTGATGCTAGTTAGGATTTGTTACTGGCTGATTTGATGAGGAAGAAGAGGAAAGGAAGTGAAACCGAGGGCTCAGAGTATTCACAAGAGGATTTGTCATCATGTGCCACTGCGTCACGTTCGTCTAACTTCAGGTCACATTTTTCGCTAGAGGGTTACGCTAGACTCAAGAAACGATGCAAGGAGAATGATACTGTTGACGAGGATTCCGTTGGTTCCTTTAAGAGACGTCTAGCTGGGGTTGCTACCGCACCTCCTTGTGGTGCGTCTTCTTTGGTTTCGTCAGGGAGAGGTTTGAAGAGGAAGATTGGGTGTATTGACGTTTCTACGCAGACTGGAAGGAAGAATAAGATTGATGATGATTATGTCTTTGGTCCTAATATTGGGAAAGGTAAGTTCGGGTCGGTTAGGATCTGTAGGTCGAAGAGTAATGGGATTGACTTTGCTTGTAAGACTCTGAAGAAAGGGGAGGAGACTGTTCACAGGGAAGTTGAGATTATGCAACATTTGTCTGGTCATCCTCGGGTTGTCACGTTGCATGCTGTGTATGAGGAGTCGGATCGTTTTCATCTTGTGATGGAGTTGTGTTCTGGGGGACGTTTGATTGATCAGATGGTTAAGGAGGGAAAGTATTCTGAGCAGCGAGCAGCTAATATATTCAAGGACCTTATGCTAGTCATCAAATATTGCCACGAGATGGGAGTTGTGCATAGAGATATAAAACCTGAGAATATTCTCTTGACCGCTGCTGGGAAGATACAGCTGGCTGATTTTGGACTTGCCATGAGAATTGCAAAAGGTAATTGTTTATAGGCGTTAAAGGATTTCTTAGTTATTTCTGTGTACAATTTTATTGAGTTGTAGTGTCTTTATGAAATTGTCAAGTGCAGTGACTTTTATGTATTTGTTGGCATCGCATCATTGTCTAATGTTACTGGTGCAAACTTATGCGACCGCAAGTTTAATATTTCTGTACGAAAGTAGCTGTCCTGAGTTTGTCTTCTCCTGTGGTAGTTTCACTTGCATTCCCGGTAATGATGTTTATAGAAATCTTGTCTTATATGACTGAATAAGATAGTTGTTATACATGCTTTAGTTATTGTGATTAAAGTATTGGTTATGTTGCTATTACTTGACAAGTTATGGTTCCTCTTCTTTCACGAGAGATGATCGTTTTGACATATTCTACTTGAGATCATAGTTTGACCTTTTCTCTTATCTTAATTTAGTCCTTTAAGGTTTTACTTATATATTTGTTTATTATGTCTTGCACAGGTCAAACGTTGTCTGGATTGGCAGGAAGTCCTGCTTATGTTGCACCTGAAGTTCTCTCTGAAAATTATTCAGAGAAAGTCGACATTTGGAGTGCAGGAGTCCTCTTGTACGCTCTCTTGTCTGGCGTACTCCCGTTTAAGGGAGACTCTTTGGATGCAATTTTCGAAGCAATCAAGAAAGTGAAGCTTGATTTCAACTCGGGAGTGTGGGAGTCCGTGTCCAAACCAGCCCGTGATCTATTGGCAAGAATGCTAACGAGGGAAGAATCTTCCAGAATCACAGCTGATGAAGTGCTAAGTAAAGCCTTTGAAATCTCTTCCAACTTTCTTTCAGTTGCAGCAGTGACTTTCTGTGTCCATTTAGTGTGCAGTGTCGTTGTTAAATGCTTAATTACCATATTGTCATTTCAGGGCATCCATGGATACTCTTCTACACTGACCGCACACTCAGGACGATGTGTATCAAGTCGAAGAACAAGAATCAAACAGGACCTCCTCCATGCCTCCAGATTCGCAGTCAAGTAGAGAAAGCTGACCTTAACAGAGTTAACAGAGAGAAGAAGACAACATCTGATTCATTCTCCAACACAGAGGAGGAAGAAGATGAGAGCGGTGTGGTAGATGTGCTTGTGGTTGCAATTGCCAACGTGAGGATCTCAGAACCAAAGAGAAGCAGAGTCTGGAGTCCCACAAGCAGCCCCATTGAACAACAACACTCTTCTAACTTGACCACTACTAATACACTCTGTCGAGCCTTCTGACAAAACCCTAACCAGCTTCACTCTCACACACACACACATATGGGCTTCGTTTCGTCAAAGTCACGCGGGTTGACCCTGATATGATCTCAGTGACTAATTATCTCATATCATAATAGCAGTTTGGATTTATTCTGATTTTCCTTCTCCATTCCTGACTATGTTGTACAGATCATGTAAATAGAAATATTCTAAAATGTTTGATCCGATTATATGTCGGAGTTACCAGCAGGTTATTTCGTAAACCGTGGAAATAAAGCATCTTGGTAAATGCAGTTAACAATAATTGTTACAACATTGTGGCTCCAACTGGTAATTGTGTTAAAGAAAAAACAAAAATGTGGTGAATTATTTGTTCTTCAGATTTTATACTTCAAATTTTATACCAGATAGATTGAATTTGTTAGTAAAACTATTGACAGAAGAGTCCAATTATGTTCTTGTATGAATGGGTGTATAAAGAGAAGTTTTCCTCTTCAAAATTTTGACAAGGAACAAAAAAATCTATTTTTATTATTTCAATTCCTCAAATGCATTTTTATTTATCATTTTGTTCATATTTTCATCCACCTAACGGCCAGTGACCAATCGAAGCTACTCCATAGGATTTCTTTTTGTGTTCAGTCCTTTGATAGTGCACATGTTCAAAATGGATGTAAAGCGAAATGTAGTTACTTATCAACACAATCATAGATATTCTTTTTAAAACAAAAACTATTGGATAATGCAATGGAACTTGCAGTGTAATGAAAGAAGGACAATGATAAGAGCCAACGTTCTTATGATTTTCTTATGATTGTTTCATCTATGCTCAGAGTCGGTACTATATCAAAGGCATCGTGTGTTCAATTGCAACTGCAAGTTACCATTTGTAATCGGGATCTTAGGTTTAAGTAGATATGCGTACGTACTCTACAAGAAAAAAAAAAAAACAAAGAGACCAACATTATGCACTCACTTCATTATCAAAGAAACCTACATTACAAAAAAAAAAACTACATTATGCACTTGCTCCACCATTTTGGAGTGAATAGAGCTCGGTGTTAACATTATCAAGTGTCTATCAATAATTGTATCATCAATACTCAGATTTAGTCCGACAACCAAACAGGCTTGTGCTTTATATATTAATATTTATTAAGAATTTATGAGCACCAGACTTAGAGAAATTGATAATGTGTGAGCTTAAGGGAGGGGAGAATCAACCAGATCAGTTATGCATGGTATATTACAATTCTATCTATAAGATTTTCACAATAATCTTAAACATCCTCTTTTTGTTTATTATTTATTTATTTTTCTTAGGTCGACAGTTTTATCTATTGATTTGCTTGTAGTAAAATAATTTCATCCTGAAATAAATATTTATTCAACTTGAATATTAATTGTAGCGATACAAAAAAAAAATATTAGTTCATATCTTTCAATATTTAGACATCGATTATATTAACAAGAACATTTAAAAAGTCGCTTTTAGTTCTTGTTGGAGCATTTCTCTGAGCATGAATCCACACAGTCCGCAACTTTGTCTGCATCTGCTCATTCCACAAACAACAATACCAAACCATCAATTATATAATCTTCAACTAAAACCCATAATAAATATTATGTTTTGACAACAAGATACTAAGTGTTTTACGCTTATCGAGTAATAAGATAATTCTCATACGATAGAAATTAAGAAAAAAGACTTACTTGGATTTCTGAGAGACGTAAGAGAAGCACAATGATGAGTAGCACAACCAAGCTTGCAAAAATAATCAATATCATCTATATCCTTTGCCAAAATCATTTGAGAAGGAGGTGGAGGAATATTTGATCTTGGAGGAGAAAGACAAGTAAAAAGACAAGTGAATGGACACAAAAGTAACTTTGGTAACTGCTTGTCAATGGCACAACCATCAACACAACCTGGATAACAATTTCTAAAAGAGAGTGTGTCTTGAGCTTGTGTCTGAACCACAAAGTTCCCCGTTACTATTACTAACATCATTGTAATCAACATTCTGTTCACTCTTTTGCTTCCCATTTTCCTTGTTCTTTTTTTTTTTGATTTGAGGAGATGATTATAAAATTAGAGGTAATCTTTTTCTGTTGATCGGGGATGTTGTTAGCTTTGGTTGTTAATGTTTGTTTATATATAGAAATTGTGGAACCTTCTGTATAATAAGTTATTGACAGAAAAGAAAGAAAGAATCTGTTATAGTTAACATTTCTATACAGTCAATATTAACAGAAGAATCTGTAGTTAAAAGAAAGAATCTGTAATAGTTAAAAAAGAGAACAATAACTGATAAACGTTAGATTATATCAACAGAAAGAATCTGTCATAGTTAAAAGAAAGGATTTGTAATAGTTACATACAGTAAAACATCTTTAAATTGATAATGCTGAAACTTTAAAAAAAAAATAATTTATAGAAATATTAATTTACAAAATTTTCCTTCTTTAGATTTCTTGTTTAAAGGTATATTTATTTTAAGATAAGAAAGCTATTTAATTTTAGTGTATAGACATTAATTATTGTTTTTTTAAATTCAATATTTATATTATTTTTATTATATTATTTGGTGTATATAATATATATTGCACATAATTTAAATGTTATTTTAGATATAATATTACTAAATCGCATCAAAAATATATTATGTGTCAAAAAAATATAAAGATAATTTCATTTTAAATATAAAAAACAATATATTGATATATTCTTGCTTATATAAAATATGTACACATATAAATTATTAATTTATAATTTTAACGGGACCATATATTTACATATAACTTTTTAAAAATTATTATCTTATTATTTTATCGATTTGTGTTGAATTTTGAACCACTTCAAATTAGGACCAGTGAAATTTATTAATTTATAAAGATTATTAATTTATCGAATATTAATTCATAGATGTTCTGCATTAGCTATATGTAATTATGGAGTGGTTTATATGTTTGTATTCTTTTTGGTAATCATATGTTAGTATTTTTTAACTCACATGTTAGTATTATCTTTAACTTTATTTGTTTCCGATTTGGTGATTATATTATTCTTTTGTCAGGTAAAATTTTGCATTAATGTAAATATGTGCAAGCTGTTTCCAGAAATACATCTAGTCAAATACATGAATCTATTTTTTCTTGTTTTGAAAGATATACTACGTATTATCTTTATTTGTTTCCCATTTGATGATAATATTATTCCCTATTTGTGAGGTAAATTTTGCATTAATGTAAATATGTGCAATCTTTTTTCAGATATAGATCTACTTAAATACATGAATTTACTCGTTTTTTTCTTGTTGGACGTCCCATGCATCTTTATAATAGTGTACTAAAAATAATGCATTAATGTGTAATGGTATGTTAAAATAATTTTTTGTTCATGGTCACATATTCTAATGTAACTCTTAATTTTTACTAAAACAATGTGAAGATATATTATATTTTGGTTACATTTTTTTCATACAAACTCTCATAAAATGAATAATGATTTACTTACTTGCCTTCCATATTATGTCATTCATATTTTGGTGAGGAGAGAGCTCTATGTTAGATACAGTGAGTGTCTAGCAATAGTTGCATCATCTATATTCAGTCTCGATCCTAAAACCAAATAGGCTTGTGCTTTTTATATTACTATATATTTAGGGACACCAAACTTAAGGAAACTGGTAGCACAATAACATTGTTATCTTGTCGATATGATTCTATTGATTGCGGTGGAGGGAAAGAACCAGATTAGTTATGCATGATTTATTACAGTTATATGATTGTCGCAAGAATATTAATCATTTTGTTTTTCTTTCGTCAACAGTTTTATTTGCTTGTAACAGAAATAATTTCAATCAGGAAATAAATATTTATTTTGATTCGAATATTGCAGCGATAATTTCGTATCCTTTAAGAATTAGACATCAGTTTATCATAATAAGTACATTTAAGAATGTAGCTTTTAATTTCAGCAAAAAAAAAAAAAAGAATGTAGCTTTTAGTTCTTGTTGGAGCACTTGTCTGAGCATGAATCCACACAGTCCGCAACTTTGTCTACATCTGCTCATTCCCCAAACAACAACAAAAACCATCAAATAAATAGTCGAGAAAGATCTTATGTATTGACAAAAATAAAGATACTTAGTATATCTATTGGTTAACAATTAATAAGATATTTTCATATAATCGAGAAAGAAAACATATTTTGAGTAAGCAAACAAAATAGCGGTTTTTAAAGAAAAGAAAAACTTACTGGGATTTTGGAGAGAAGAAAGAGGAAGACAATGATGAGTAGCACAGCCAAGTTTACAGAAATAATCAGAATGATCGGTTTCTTCATTTGCCAAAAGCATTGGTGAAGGAGGAGAAGGAATATTTGATGTTGGAGGAGGAAGACAAGTCATGAAACAAGTGAATGGACACAGCAAACCAGCTGGAAACTTCTTCTCAATGACACAACTCACTATACAACCTGGGAAACAACTTCTAAAAGAATAAGCTTGAGCTTCTGTGTGAACCACAAAGTTCCCAATGACCATCACGATCATCATTGTAATCAACATTCTGTTCACTCTTTTGCTTTCCATTTTCTTTCTCTCTTTTTTTTTTTGGTTTGTGGAGATGATTATCAAATTCCAGGTAATTTGTTTGTTGATTGTGGATGTTGTTAGCTTTGGTTGTTAATGTCCGTTTTATATAGAGATTGTGGAACCTTCTGTATAATAAGCTACTGACAGAAAAGAAAGAAAGAATCTGTAATAGTTAACATTTCTATACGGTCAATAATTGATAAACATTAGCTCATATCAATATTAACAGAAAAAATCTGTATTAGTTAAGAGAAAGAAAGAATCTGTAATAGTTAAACGAAAGAAGAACAATAATTGATAAACATTAGTTGATATCAACAGAAAGAATCTGTAATAGTTAACATTTTCTGTATAAAAGCTATCGACAGAAAAGAAAGAAAGAATATGAAATCGTATATATTGTTATCTTTGGTTGTTAATGTTCGTTTCTGTTTTTCCGATTTAGTGATTAAGTTTGCATTATCATAATATGTGCAAGCTGTTTTCAGATATATACATCTACTTAAATACATGAATCATATTTTTCTTATTTTGACGTCTCATGCATATAATAATGTTTTCAAAAATAAAATGTATTAATGTGTATGCAATAACACTTTTTGATCATGTATTTTTTTATTTTTTATTTTGAAACAAATAAAAAATAAATTTAGATATTTACAGTAGTAACCGTCTAACGTTTTACGAGAAGAGTGTAGATATAAATTCTATTTGTTGCATGTTGAATATAATCTCTCATAAAATGAGAAATGATTCACGTGCATGTTTTTCGTATTACGCCATACATATTTTAAATTAAAACTTGTAAGTTATACAGAAATGTATGTATTTAAGTTTTAAAATCTAAAAATCATCACATTGTTAAAATTTACTATACTGCTGGTATAACTTATTTGGTTAATCCAAAAGAAAATAATATGTTTTAGACAACAACTCGTAGATAAGTATCAACTATTTTTTAACGAAAATAATTTTGGGTTCACAGTTTTATTCACTTATTTGCTTGTAACCGAAGAAGAAGAAAACATCAAATACAAAAGAACATTTTGAAATACTTATACAGTTATACTATATACTATATATATATAGTTATACATTTGCAATAAAAATTAATGAATGTTTGCTTAAAGTAGCTCGAGATTGACAGCTGGTAAATAAATTACATCAAAGTGGTAAAAACTGATTGGAAGGCAAATTATTGAAACCTATATAAGAGCCAATGTTAAAATTTCCACTGCAAGTTACGGTTTGTAATCGGATCTGAGATATACATAGATGAGTACGTACTCTCAAGAAAACAAAACGAAGAAACCTAACCTATACATTAAGCAACCACTCCACCATTTTGGAGCGAAGAGAGCTCAATGTTAAAATTAGTGAATGTCTATCAATAACTATATCGCCTATACTCAAACTCGGTCCTAAAACCAAATAGGATTTTGCTTTCTACACTAATATATATTTATTAAAAATTTAGGGGCACCAAACTTGGTTGCAATAATATTGTTATCTTGTTGATAGTGGAGGGAACAAAACCAGATCAGTTATGCATGATATATTACCATTTATAAAATTGTCACAAGAATATCAAATCCTCTATCTTTATCATTTTGTTTACACAAATAATTTCATTCTGGAAATAAATATTAATTTGAATTGATTATTGTTGTGATACAAACTACATTGTTTTTTTTAAACTGGACAAACGACATTGTTTTTTTTATCATAACGAGAAGGTTTAATAAAGTTGCTTTTAGTTCTGGTTGGAACACTTGTCTGAGCATGAATCTACACAGTCCGCAACTTTATCTACATCTGCTCATTCCATAAACAACAAAAAGACACCATTAAACAAATAATCTTCAGCTAAAATCCATAATAGTAGATATTATATATTGTCAAAAAGAAAGATAGTGAGTATATATATTGGTTATTTATTAATAAGATAATTTTCATATTATCGAGAAACAAAATGCACTTTTTGTTAAGCAACAAAATATCGCTTTTAAAAGAAAAGAAAAACTTACTGGGATTTTGGAGAGAAGAAAGAGGAAGACAATGATGAGTAGCACAGCCAAGCTTACAGAAATAATCAGTATGATCGGTTTCTTCATTTGCCAAAAGCATTTGTGAAGGAGGGGAAGGAATATTTGATGTTGGAGGAGGAAGACAAGTCAAGAAACAAGTGAATGGACACGTCAAACCAGCTGGAAGCTTCTTCTCAATGACACAACTCACAATACAACCGGGGAAACAACTTCTAAAAGGATAAGCTTGAGCTTGAGCTTCTGTCTTAACCACAAAGTTCCCAATGACCATCACTATCATCATTGTAATGAACATTATGCTCACTCTTTTGCTTCCCATTTTCTTTTTCCTTTTCTTTTCGGTTGAAGAGATGATTATAAGATTTATGAAACTTGTTTGTTAATCGTAGATGTTGTTAATGTCTGCTGCTAATGTTTGTTTATATATATAGGGATAGTAGAAGCTTCTGTATAAGCCGGTGGCAGAAAAGAAAGAAAAAAAAATCTTCTTTAATTGTTAACAAGTCTTTAATTTTATTTGTTTCTGATTTAGTGATTATATTGTTCCATTTAAGAGGTAGAAGATTGCATTAACGTAAATATGTGCAAGCTGTTAACATACATATATATATATATATATATATATATATATATATGTTTTTTCATGAATTTGTGTAAGAATGGTAAAAAAAATATGTGTATTAATGTCTGTGAAAAAAATACTTACGTTTATTGCTACGTATTCTATTGCACTTAAATTCAGACGTTTTTAGAGTAACGACCTAGTAATAACAGGAGTATAAAACAATACTAGTTTCTGATGTATGCATATGATAGATGATTATCCGCCCACATTTGTGGAGAGAAATTTATGTACTAACAATTGTTGAATATTAATTTTGATCGTTCATTATAAGTCTTTAAAAATATAGTCATAGAGACATGGACCATCAATATAAGATTGTTGAGTATTAGGTTATCTTGATATTTTTTANACTAGTTTCTGATGTATGCATATGATAGATGATTATCCGCCCACATTTGTGGAGAGAAATTTATGTACTAACAATTGTTGAATATTAATTTTGATCGTTCATTATAAGTCTTTAAAAATATAGTCATAGAGACATGGACCATCAATATAAGATTGTTGAGTATTAGGTTATCTTGATATTTTTTAACCTATTTATTTTACATTAGACATCAATAATATTATCGGGATGTTACAATTCACTATCTCAACTCAAACCCATAATAAATACCAAACCATCAATTATATAATCTTCAACTAAAACCCATAATAAATATTATGTTTTGACAGCAAGATACTAAGTGTTTTACGCTTATCGAGTAATAAGATAATTCTCATACGATAGAAATTAAGAAAAAAGACTTACTTGGATTTCTGAGAGACGTAAGAGAAGCACAATGATGAGTAGCACAACCAAGCTTGCAAAAATAATCAATATCATCTATATCCTTTGCCAAAATCATTTGAGAAGGAGCTGGAGGAATATTTGATGTTGGAGGAGAAAGACAAGTAAAAAGACAAGTGAATGGACACAAAAGTAACTTTGGTAATTGCTTGTCAATGGCACAACCATCAACACAACCTGGATAACAATTTCTAAAAGAGAGTAATGTATTAATGTCTGTGAAAAAAATACTTACGTTTATTGCTACGTATTCTATTGCACTTAAATTCAGACGTTTTTAGAGTAACGACCTAGTAATAACACGAGTATAAAACAATACTAGTTTCTGATGTATGCATATGATAGATGATTATCCGCCCACATTTGTGGAGAGAAATTTATGTACTAACAATTGTTGAATATTAATTTTGATCGTTCATTATAAGTCTTTAAAAATATAGTCATAGAGACATGGACCATCAATATAAGATTGTTGAGTATTAGGTTATCTTGATATTTTTTANACTAGTTTCTGATGTATGCATATGATAGATGATTATCCGCCCACATTTGTGGAGAGAAATTTATGTACTAACAATTGTTGAATATTAATTTTGATCGTTCATTATAAGTCTTTAAAAATATAGTCATAGAGACATGGACCATCAATATAAGATTGTTGAGTATTAGGTTATCTTGATATTTTTTAACCTATTTATTTTATATTAGACATCAATAATATTATCGGGATGTTACAATTCACTATCTCAACTCAATATGAAAATTTGTATTTCTAAAAAGATTTGATCAAATAAAATATAAGATCTGCGTTTACGCGAAATGAATATTATTATGTATACAAACTATATATATTATTTATTTATTTTATTTACATATTATGCAAGAAAAAATATATTGAATAGTTGGGATTCGAGTAACTATTAAATTGGAGTAAGCACATAAAAAAAACAATCATTTTTTAATTATATTAATTTTTGTTGGTAACAAATCAAAACAATCATTTATTTATTTTATATGGTATATAATTAAAATTAAATAAAATTGACAGATATATATATATATAGTATTTTTAATACAAATATTTATTAATTGAGGCTTCGTATTTATATGATTTTATTTATATTTTTACATTTGCTGTAACAAAAACATTATTTTATTAATATGGATATTTTTTAATTGAACTTCCGACTCAATGAAAATTTTGCAATTAATATTTTATATATGATATTTATTTTAATTTAAACAATATCAAATTATATATACATATTTATTTAATCTGATTATATATTAAATAATACTTTATATTTATATGATTTTATTATAAAAAAGTTAAACTATTGATCACAAAACTTTTATTGTGAGATTTTTAATAGACTTAGTAATTTATAGTCATTTTAGAAAGAAAAAATATAGTATATTATAAAAAAATCTAAATATTTTAGTATATGGTTAATGTGGTTGTTTAATTAACAGAAATATGTACATACCTGTGTTTGTTGAACACAGTTTGCTTACAGGCATCAACATAAATGTGCACATGGTTATTAAAACATTTCTCATAATATCTGTATCATTAATACTATTAACATTTTAAAATAAGTTGATAGAAAAACATTTTTAAATTTATATCCAAAATTATATTCAAATTGCCATGAGGATTTAAGATAATTTCAAGATATGCATACTCGTTCCTCCTACAACCAATACAAATACTCAAACTTTTAGAAAACGTTTGTAAATTTTATCGTATTTCATAATTGTATTGTAATTTCATAATTGTATTGTAATCATGGTTTTGTGAGGCTGCTATCTTTTACAAGTTAAACTGTAATAGGTGAAACGTGAAAATATTAGCAAAGATAGATAAAATACTGGCTTGGTCCAAATATTGATTCACCTATGTGGTTCTCCACATGAAAAGTCTAAGCAGCTTTTGTATTAGATTTCTTCTTTCAATTCAAGCAAACAAAAAAACAAGTAAAGCTACAAAGACTGCAACAAAGCCCGTAATGAACCAATGTAAACATTCAGCCCGAAACCAATATTGTCTGTCTCTACTGCTCTGAGGTATCAGCTCGACGATAGGGCATGTACCTATGATCCTTTGTTGCATTCTTCTTCCTCCGTTTGTCAAGAAACGATGAAAGCTTCCCAGACTCCTGGATTGTACATCAGAAAGCGATTCAGTGATTATAAAGTTCTTAAAACTTTGGAGTCAAAACTGATTTTACATACCTTGAGACTGTTGTACTTTTCGATGAGTTCTTGCTTTCGGATCTCAGCTGCATTAAGATGTAAGAAAACGAATCAGTAAATTGTTGGCAAACAAAAACTCGAAACTGGTGTTTTAGAGTAGAAAATTAACAACATACATTGTTTGAGATAGTAAGGCTTTTTGCCCATCTTTGCAGCTTCTCTTTCTCTCTTTTTGTGCTCTGTTAGTATTGATTTTCCTTTGCTATTTGTTGACGGATCATACTTCAACAACTTCTCCTGAGGTATTGCAAAGGTAAAGAAACATATGATTAGAGATTAACAAGCAGCAGGACAAGAGGAATGAAAAAGAAAGGACCACTTACAACGTAAGTTAACTGGTCCTTGAGTTCGTCGACCTCTTCTGGATTCTTTGTTTTCTTTAGCTTCTTTTTCAGTTCCTGTTTACAAACCAAAAGGCTTCGTTAGAAATTGGAATCTAGTGGAAGTTGTTTTCAATTCAGTATTAATCAATACCTCTCTTTCTACAGGAAGTTTCTCCTCGAAAAAGAAACTGTATCGCTTCCTGAACCTACAAAAGATACACAAAACTTATCTTCACCTCAAACAAGAACAATGAGCAAACTATAAAACTACTTTCATGTTTCACAAGAGAGGGAAATATATAGTTAGATAGATACCCCTCAGTATCAACGTTTCCAGCCAATGAATCAAAACGAGGATCGCGAACCACCTGAATACAAATAAAGAAACAACAACAACATTGAGGAGAAGATTTACACAAACAAAGATTTAAAAACTTTCTCAATGGTCGAACTTATTAACATTACCTTCTTTGGAGCTTGAATAACCTCTCTATAACGACTCACTGGTCTTCTAGAACTCAACTCCATTGGTCTTTTTACATCACAAATGAAACAAACAAAGATTTAAAAGACAAATAAAGATTAAAAGACGAGAGAAACCAAACAAAGAGTAAGTTACCTGTTCTTGTTTGCACGAGCAGGCTTCTTCGCTTCAGAGAAGGTTATGTTATTGTCTGCACGACCAGTGTTCTTCTTCACTTGAGAAAACGATGAGTTCAAGGGAGCAGCAGGACGAGGACGAGATCCATCAGCACGCAGTCTGTGTATTTCCTCCAATGTTAACTCTTTCTCTTTCTCTTCTTCTTCCTCCTAAATCCCAAATTAAAAAGACCAAAATTCTTCAAAATTAATAAAAAAAAACAGCTTTTGTAAGAGATTCGGACAGACCTCATCTGAAGAAGACAGAGAGGATAACGACTGCTCTTCGTCATCATCTTCACTGTCGTCAAAAACAATCTTACTCGAGCTCGGTTCAAACTTATTAGCTCCCTTCATTGTCAAACACACCAAACCTAAAACGAATACAGAGCATTGCATTACTATCATTCCACCAACTTCTACTGCTCTTAATCCTAACAGAGTAACAATACACAATATTATAAACTTACTTTTAACCAGAGAATCTGTAAAGGTAACGACGATAGAGAACGGCGCGACAAGTCGAGCAAGGAGGAGGAGGAGTAGTGAAGATAACAAACAAGAAAATTGGATTCAGAGGAAATTAGGGTTTTTATTTTATTCAATTTCTGATTCGGTTTATTTTCAAACCGAACCGAATTCGATTCGTGTACTATAATTAATGCGTTTATTTTATGGCTGACTCGATCAGGTGATATATTTTGAAGTAATAAAAACCCATTTTTCACTGCAGTTAATTCGGTAAAATATTAAAACACGGAGTTTACACATGATTTGGCTATGGTTGCGTAAAATTACTCTATTATAAATGTTCAGTTAAATATGATTAAGACAAATCTTTAGAGAGAGAGAGAGAAAAAAATAAAAAGATGTATGAACGACACGCGCATGTGACACTCACGAGACAGAATCAAACCCCTAATTGCTACGTGGCAACATCCGGTGTGTTACGCGCTTTAGATTTTTCTATCTGTGGGTCCCCCATAAACCGTTGCCTATATATATCACTCTCCTTCACTACTCTACATAACTCAAAACAAAACAGAGCAACTTCGACAAGCAAACACATACAAAAAAAAAAAAAGAGTTTTTACTCGAACAATCTTTACTCCCTTTGAATCTAATCCTTAGAGGAAATCGAATTTTCATCTTTTTTCATAGTATACAGTGAGATCATTCGATTTTTATACGGTGAGATCATTCGATTTTTATTTTCTCATTTTCCATCGAATTAGTATTGTAATGGATCATAACGACGAGATTACTCTGGCGGAGATGAGGCCTAAGAGGCGTGCGGGGAGGACAGTATTCAAAGAGACACGTCACCCAGTCTACAGAGGAATACGGCGTAGGAACGGCGACAAATGGGTCTGCGAGATCCGAGAGCCGACGCACCAACGCCGCATCTGGCTAGGGACTTATCCCACGGCGGAGATGGCGGCGCGTGCACACGACGTGGCGGCTTTTGCTCTGCGCGGGAGATCCGCGTGTTTGAATTTCGCAGACTCCGCCTGGCGGCTTCCGGTGCCGGAAACAACCGAACCAGATGTCATAAGGAGAGTGGCAGCGGAGGCAGCAGAGATGTTCAGGCCGAGGGAGTTCGAGAGTGGGATTACGGTTTTGCCCTCTTACGGCAATGAGGTGTATTTGGGCTCTGGTTCGGGATGGGAGGAGAGGAATTTGTATGGATATGTAGAAGAAGAGGAAGAAGTGTCGACGACGATGATGAGACTGGCGTCTGAGCCGTTGATGTCACCGCCGCGATCTCATATGGAAGGGGAAGGCATGACTTCTTCTAATAATGTTTACATGGGAGAAGAGATGTGTTATGAAGATACGTCACTATGGAGTTACAGTTATTAAGCGGGAGACTACGATACTCACATTCATATACTATAGACTGTAGTAAATGTGTGCAATAGATTGTGAGTTGTAAAATTTCCTTGTTGAGGTTTTTTTTCTGTCCTCTACCTGAGTTAGAAGGTTTCTTGATGGAATGATTTTGTATTGTTATAAGAATATTTTATAAAATGATTGGCCTTTATATATCTATATACAAAAGCATAGTCTCAATTAGTAATGGTTATTGAAGAGATGGTGGAAAAGGGGATTTTAAGCTCAAGAAGCTTCAGCCTTGACAATGATCCAATAATTTACCTATGATGAAGACTGTATAATATACCTATGAATCTATATGAAGTTGGAATCTACCAAGTTATTTCTTACGAGATGAGCCTACTAATTTTGTGTACGTAAAAGAAAATATCAACTAGCGTCTGTAGTCCAACGGTTAGGATAATTGCCTTCCAAGCAATAGACCCGGGTTCGACTCCCGGCAGACGCATCTACTTTTTTAATCTTCTTTTCAATCCATTTTCAAACCACAAGCAATAACTTCTCTAAATAAAATCCAAACCACATTCTGTTTCTGAGTCATCTCGGGTTGTTTTTTACAGGCGAGGTCAGTTTCCATGGAAAGATTTTTACTACAGAACAAACACAAAACAAGACCAAAATCAGATGTGTACAGAGAATAATTAATGCTCATAAGAGTCTTCTTCGATTTGTTACTAGCAGACAAGCGGCAATGTGAGGGACGAAGCCGTGGGAATATGAGTGCAAGATGCCCATCGGATTATCGACTCAGTAACTGCAACATCCACCACCAACTGGTCTAGCTCACCTAGTCCTATGGTCCTGTTTCTTTTGCTGTACAGACCTGATATTCTTGACCAGTTTCCTCTTTCCCTTCTTGTCTCTGCCTTTCCTCCTGCTTCTGTCTGACTCTCACTTTCTTCCTCACCTCTCTCAAGTTGTGAAAAAGAGTCTGGTGATGGCAGTAACCTCTTTGGGCTTGAGTCTGTAAAAAAGGACAAAATCATTTGCCATGTTTAGAAGGTCTATAACTATACATAGCAATCCAGGAAGAGTAAAAGAGGAAGAAGTACCTCTAAGTTTCCCATCTGTTTCATGAATGTTATTGTTCTGTGTTGTCGTTGGACTCTGACTAAAGAAGCTAAAGCTTGGCATGGATGTGACTCCAACAGAGGTTGATTCCGTTTGTTCCCCATCAAAAGAGAACCCACCAAAACCAGAAGTTGGCAGTACGTTGTTGTTATCCGCAGGTAAGAAAGAGGAGAATGATGATCTACAATCATTATCTATGGCTTCCTCTAGCTGTCCCATGCTAAAGCTATAGTCTTGCTCCCGAGAAACGTATTGTGTGGAGAAAGAACATCCACCATTCTCCAATCCTTCACATCCAAACCCATTTTGATCATATTGTTCTTGTCCTGGCTCAGATAACTCCTCCATCCAAGAGTGAGCTGCACACAAATCATCATTTCAAGCTTTATATTCCAACAAGAATGATAGATCAGGATGACTTACCTAGAACATCATCAGCTGTTAACCTTTGGGAAGGATCAACACATAGCATCCCACGGATCAAATCCTTAGCGTATGAAGTTATATTATCCCATGGCTCTGCAGAAAATCTCAAATCTGCAGCCCTGACAGCATCAAAAATCTTTGACTTAGTCTTTCCCCAAAAGGGAGGTACTCCACTGAGAAGAATGTACAAAATAACCCCTGCACTCCATACATCAGCAGCTTCGTTATATCCCCCTGATAACACTTCCGGTGCTATATAAAACGGACTACCAACAGTCCCGTTTAACTTTTCTCCTGTTCATAAGAAAACCAATATCTTAGAATACACAAGTTTCTTATCTTTAAGTACTTTAAAGAGACTGTTATATAATCTTACCGGGCTTGATATAGGTTGCCAAACCAAAATCAGCCAATTTGATAGGTGATGAAGAAGACACTGTGGCCATGAGAATGTTCTCAGGTTTCAAGTCTCTATGGACAATACCATTATCATGACAAAACTTCACCACTTGCATCAAATGCTTGAAGAGCACCCTGGCACCAACCTCAGAATACTTTCCATACTTCTCAAGCTTGTGAAAAAGCTCGCCTCCTGCACAAAGCTCCATCACAAGATGCACATAATCCTCCTCCTCGTAAACCGCTTTGAGATCCACAACATTCGGATGGCCAGCTAACTTAGTCATAATCGCAATCTCGAGTTTGATACTCTTCATATCATCTTGCGTAACCAGTCTATCTTTTGATATAGACTTGCAAGCAAGCCTCTCTCCAGTGAACTTATCAGAACATACTCTTATCACACCGAACTGACCCAAACCCAACTGTTCTCCAAGGACATAACGGTCTTTTAAGCTGGAAACGTTGACCGGGTTGAGAATGGTTTGTGTAAGGCTTGCAACTTTGTAGCAATTGCAGAATTCTAATAAAGGTGGGCTTGTGTTCTCCTTATCAGCTATTTCCATACCCATATCCAAAGATCAAACACCCTGACCCCTCCCCACAAAAAAAAAAACAGCTTGTGCTTCAGCTATAGCAACCTTCTCTTGGCTGCAATGAATAGGTTTCAGCTATAGCAACTTCAGCTATATAAGTTGCCTTCTCCTTTGAACCCTCTGATCTGTAACTAAAGACTTAAATCTCAGATCCAAGCAACTAAAAATGGAAAGGTTTCAGCTTTATATGAAAACAGAGCACATAAGTCAAATTCATGATCAAAGAGCTCTAATCCTCTGGAATACGAAAACCCTCGAATTGAATCAACTAGAAAGCTTTGGATTTAGCCACAAAGACGAAAACTTGCAGAAATTGATGAAAAGATTGAAAATTTATGAGAAAGTTTTACCCTTTTTGAGCAGAAGAGGAATCCGTAGGAGAGAAAGCAACAGCGAATAGAGCAGAGACCTAGTCTTCTCCTCTAGTCTCTCTCTCAATCTCTCTTTCGCCTCTTTCAAAAACAATGTCGTGTCAACTGGTTACCGGGAGAACCAGCAGCTTCACGTTTTCTTACTTTAGCGAGGAGGTTTTTATTTTATTACAATTTAGACCACTCATCTTATATATTAAAACAGAAGTCATGACTTGACTTCATGTGTGATTTTTTAAAAAAATGGACTATTACTAGAAAGTTATGTTACATTAACTTTCTAATATTCTTATCATTATTATATCTTATGAAAAATCATATCTATAATAACAAAGATACGCTTAACAATTTGGTTTTGGTAATTAGCTCACACCTTCCAACTTAGTCACGCAAAATATGTCAGTAGATATAAGTTTAGGAATCTTCTATTATTTATAAGGAAATATGTCAATAATAGTTAAATGGATCTACAATATATTAACAAAAATCACAGATTCGTAATATGGAATATTTATATACCCTAACAAAATTTACACGTTATATATACTAGATAAATTAAATTCGATGTAAATTTTTAAAATTATATTGTTTAAAAAAGAAATTGTTTAAAAAATTCTTTTTTAATAAAATTCTTTATATTATAAATTTATGAAGCTATAGGTTTAGTTTTAGCAAAATATTCTTCGAAGTTTATATTATCTTTGCAAATTAAAATATACTAATATTTAATCAAGCTCTATTTATATTACTTTATCTAAAAATGAAATACTAATCTAATAAACAATAAAATATAGAAGAAAAAACAAACACATGTTTGAAAAACATGTATAATATAGAAGATTTGAAACAATCTATTTGATTAAAACACATATTATATAATATTATTATGTTTGAAAAACATTTACTATATATATCGTAAATATATGATTACTATAATATATACAAATTTACAAGTGAAAAAAAAATATTTATATAACTAACTATAAACAAAAACAAACACCCGCGTGGTTGCGCGGGTCAAAATCTAGTTTTGTTTAATTCTAATATCACCTCGTTCTTTTCGATCCTGAAATTTAACCATTCGCGACGCGAGAAGCCATTTATCCACGTAAAAGTCTGAATCAAATATCTTCAGTTGATATTCAAAATATATGAAGGAAACAAAATATATTCAAAAACCATCTAAAAATGCAGGTAAATAATGTTATTTACACTAGTTTAATCATTGGTTTCTATCAAATTTTGGCTTTAAATGAAGGATTTGACAAATAATAAATTTTATGTAGTTCATCAACTATATGGTAGAGTCTCTCCCCTTTAAACTATTCTGACCTTTTGGATTAGTCTAGAGGAAAAAGAGGAACCATATCCAACGGCAAGAAAGATGGGACGTACACCAACTAGCTTTTATGACGATAGTTAGTAAGCATGTCATGTGGTTAATCTTGTATCTGTACTTGAATACTTGTCCTTTAAAGTTCACTAAGATAGAAAAGTTGTTCAATAAAATAAAAATATGCCTACTAATAGGAGATAAATCAATCAGCAAAATCCATCTAGAATGATGTTCATTGTACAACTCTCAGTTAGTTATGTAAAATTTTGAAAACCATAATGACAAACTAAAGTAACTAACCATTTTTAACTACTACTTGTTTCTATAAACTTGCTACATGTCAACTGTAGTAAACTTGTTACATGTCAATTGTAGTTGATGTGTATATTTTCTTGTTCATGATGTTTTATTTGCACACTAGTTTTAAAATCTACCAAGTCCTTTCCAAACTGAAAAAGATTCTAAGCAAAAAATAAATAAATGGAAATGTGATTATTGTTAGAAAATTATCGCACTCACACCAAAAAGCCATAATTCCAAATGTGAAACGAAATGAAACATTCTTGGATCAAGAAGTTGTGTTTGTTTTCATCATCACAACTCCGATTATGAAGAGTTATATCACAATTGCATACATTCTTTATACATTCATGTAGATGTTTAACATAAAGCCGGGCCAGTAACAACATAATTAGGCCACCGAAACTTGTAAAAATCCCAAAAACAAAACAACAACAAAAACAGAGAAAAATCATAGAAGAAGAAATCCGGTTTAGTTTTCCAAGGCAAAACGATAATCTCAACGGAAATTGGCGCCACTATTGTAAGTCTTACCGGCGTTCCAGTTAGCCGGAGCAACATTCCAAGCGTAGACGGTTTCACCGGTGGTGTAAGAAGTGACCCGGAAAGAGAGAGACTGACCATAGAGAGTGGAAAAAGCTTGGTAAGAGGCTCCCCAGTTGTGGCTCATGCTTATCCAATTCGTACGGCTACCTTTCACGGCCATGCTTTTTATGTCTCCGGCGCCGCCAACATTCATAACAAATACAAGAAGCCAATAAGCATTGCCTTGGAATTGAAACCTCATCCCTCCACTCCTTTTGCATGGGACTCTACATATATCAATCGCATAAACATATATTAGTTACTCGTATATATAGTAAGATGACTATAAACATTTATAAAAATGTTTATTAAAAATATTTATACCTGCGGTATGCAACAGGGATGATACCGGCTCTCCAGTAAGCGAGTTTCATGAAAGCCGGTTTAGCCATATCGAAATGGGTTCTAGGAGGATTGCACCAACCACCATTGTTGGAGTCTTGGTACCAATTTGGAGGGCAAAGGTTGGTGGCTGTGACCACTGTCGATGGGCGTCCATAGTTACAATGTTTCGAATTCACACAGACTATTTGGAAACATTGGCCGCATCCGTAACCGTCTTTGAATAACGTCGTGCTTAGCGCCGCTGTGTCCAAGCCGTAGCCGCTGTTAAATAAGTTTCCGTAACCACATGCACCACCTGCATATATATACGTAGTTGAGTACTAGTTGTTATATTGCTGATTGCATGTATGAGTATGTATGTATGTATGTAAGCAAAATTGTTATCATCGAGTATGAATAAACTTTTGAAATTTACTTTTGAGAATTTTTCTACGTTAACAACAAGAAGATATGATGAGTAAAATATATATTCAAAAAACAATTGAACATGTTTTTTATCTTGGTGATTATTTTATTTTTTTGATTATACACAGTTTCCCGAAGGTTTCCTAAACTCAAGAGACTAATCTGTGTCGCTGCACCCCGAATGTGAAATTGCGGTGGCCAGAACGAATCCAACCTAAGTGGCCGTACTTGTAGCTACAGGCCGTTTACCACCAGACTATCGTCTGGTTTTGGTGATTATATTTGTATATATGTAAATGAGCGTGAATAATTTTATTAACGTACCCATGGTTTCACTACCGGTTTCGTCGCCGTAGAAAGTTGCATGAGCGTACCTCCACGGACTGGGCCTGTAATATCCGGCTACGAATTCACCGGAGATGGCGAAGACAACAAAGACTATTGCGAATATTTTCTTAAAGCTCCAAGATCTTGAGATTGTACCCATCTTTAGTTTCTTTTTCGTTTTTCGATGGGTTTTCTTAGGGTTTGGTTTATTTGTTTGTTTGTTTGTTGATGAAGTAATCGAATTAGAGACAAACTTATATAGAGGGGATTTTCAACTATAGTGGTGGTTACTACGTGAGAGCCATGATTTCTTTTTCCATTTTTTATTGGAGACTTTTGTCCGTGCTGATTGGGATTTGTTTCATTTCATTGAATTTTTTGAAATAGAACCATTGAATAAGTACTAGAGAAAGCAAGTCAAATTATTGTTTAAGTGAAGTTTTGGAATATAGTACAAGATTTCATTTTGACGTGCGGGCAGGTTCTATAAGTGGTTCTCGATCGTACCGACTTTATCCAATCCCCAACGTGCGTTTATGTATATCAAACAGTACTGCATATATACTCAATTTTAATGAATTTATTGTCAATGATTAGTTGATTTATATATTATATGTAGTCGACAAATACATGTATATTAGAGTATGTATTGTCGTTATAATGTTGTCAAATTTCGTTATAACGATTAGGCTGTGAATTTAAGGTTATAATCGGATTTAGAGATCAGAGCAGATTAACAAGTTCATCTCTTTGAGGGAAAGAAAAAAAGTTCATCTCCAAGGCTTCAGCTTGTGATCTTGAATACATGTATAAGTAGGCAACAAACGAACTTGTTGACCACATGATATGATGGTTTAGCATCACACAAGTTTGGGATTGCTAAACAACATGGGTTCGCAAGTACCCAACTACACTTCATCATGTGATCATGCGGATATGAGTCCATTATTTAGCATCCATTTGAATACTCATAAAAAGTTTATCTGTAGACTATACCTCTCATTGAGAATTAATCTGAATTTTTCCATAAGTTAATGATATTCACATGTTAATGAAAATAAGGAACATATGAACTGCCAGCTTTAACCACCTCTTATGTGAAAACTATTGTTGGTATAATGATTCAACAAATGTTTTTTCAATCAAAGTATCCTAACGAAATGCATGATGAAAACTAGAAGCTATGATTCTAAAAGTTATATAGAATTTGATAGAGAAGTAACAAGTAATAAGATTTTTTCTTAAAATTATTTATAAGGTTAATCATACACATTAACTAAACTAGTAGAATAGTTTTTGAAATACAAAAAAAAAAAAAAAAAAAA